TTAAGTCTTCAGCTGTGGCAAACTGTATTTTAGATAGGTTTTCTTGTTCTACTTTGGATTAGGAGTTGCAAGTGTCATTGATAAATGTTTTAGAAGTGGAACTTCTAGCAATGTGATAGTGTGACATTAATTTGACTACAGTAGCCAGCTGCTACTGTAGACGAATTGCATTTTAGTAATAAAGTTATAATAGGGGATGTTATTGGTGTTCAGTGTGCTAAATTTATTGACATCTTTTGTGTTGTGTGTAGTAAAATGTCTGCTTTAATCTTGGTATCTTTAATGCAGGTACATTTTCCTCTTGTTCTCGTCTTGCAACACACAGAAAGGCTTTTAGATACAATAGCAGCATTGTAAGAGGAAAGGGTATGACTGGGTTATTATTATTATTATTTTGACATTTGTGCTCTGTTAACTTTAATAAATATGAAAATAAGAATTATCACATTTCACAGGTGCTCCTGCATTATTCATTACTCATTTGAGTTATTGTGTTTTGCTGTTTTATGAGTAAGAGATCACAAAGCAGTGTTTTATTACCTAATTACTCCCTGTTTGATTTCTTTATTTCAAAGTACTTAAACACTTTGATGTTCATTCTACTGCCATCAAAGTTAAGAGCATTTGATATTGTTTGATATTAAGGCCATTTGATTTTGTAACATTTGTGTCTAAACTAAAAAAGAACCTCAGTCTTATTTTCAGAGGTGCTCAGTTCATGTATGGTACAATAAACTTTTTTATAATTGACTAAGTGAATCTCTTCTGTGTCCCATGAAATAAGTCATGAGGTACCAGCCTCGATAATCGTGTTCAAAGCAATTATTAAGAAAGACTTTTTAAAGCCACTGGCTCATACCTAATTTTATAAGACTGCTAATCAAGCATGAATGTTTACTCCCAGCCTGGCTAATTGGGTTTAAATGAGGTGGAGAGATGGCATAATGTTTGTCATCCAGGGTACCCATCGTCACTCTGTTCATGCTATCAGTTTTCATCCAGCTGCTGTGCGTACAGTTTGAAAGCACATTTTCGATGGTTATGCTAATAAGCAGGCTCAGACATTTCAAAGTACAAGGGCAGCAGTGTGTGGCAGTGGTCAGGGTTCTTTGCTTGTAATTGGCAGGGTGTGGGTTCAAATCCCGGGTGAGGCACTGCTGTTGTAACCTTGAGCAAGGAGCTGTGCCTGAATTATTCCAGTTAAATACCTAGTTATAGAAATGGGTGCACATGTAAACTGCATTGATAAAACCATCAGGTATATAATGATATATCGTTTTGTCATGGATAGAATGCAGTGTTAACCAGAGTTTTTAATCTATGCTGATAAATAGATATATATATATACAGTATGTATTTGATATATCAATTACAGATTTCAGAAAAGGTGTCATATTCGCTTTTTTTCTGTTTTCACATCTACCAATTGTCTTATTTGCCAGAACTCAGGAATTTGGGTTTTTGGGGGAAGTCTGATGAAGAAGCTTTCACGGTGTAAATGAGTTACATAATGAGAGAGAAAGCAATTGCTTTCTGCCTTTTGAATGGAAGACGCATGGTTTCTGCTTTGGCTGACATTCTGCGAGTGTTACTGGCTTGTCCACATTCAGGGACCCTAACCAAGAGGGAACAGATAAAAGAGTGTTGCTGTAGTATTAGGTTTGACGTGAACACATGGCTTCGATTTAATGCTGAAACATTATTGCTCCAGGGTCCAATGCTTGCCACAGAGCACAAAAGAACCAGTTCTATACCTTTTCTATTCTAATATATTTCATTTAGTTTTATGCACTGTGTAAGAAAGAAGCTCTTGAACCCTTTCATGGTGCATCCATTTTATGTTGCTCAGTCTCTTTTATGGCTAACAATTAATGCGTTTTTAAAGCATACGCATGAGTGAGTGATGCGATTAGACTGCTTAAAGACTAACCCCAGGATTCATCCTCCGAGACAAATGATTGAGCTATTTCAGCTCCTAAACTACAATCACACTGCTTCCTGCCTGCAAGTAAAAGCCTTTTTGTTATGAACTGTAGTGTACAGAAACATTCATGATTTGGTTTATTTCTTTATACTTGGATTAATTGATTTTCTTCAAAGGCAAACAATGAGACATTCTGTTTCATAACACCCCCCCCCCCAAATAAAATCAAACGTGTTCCCTCCCAGACATTTATGTTTTAATTGGATTGTAGATTTTAACTGAATCTTTGATGTTTTGATAGTTGAACTCGGATGATGTATTTATGGGCTGTGAGGCTTTTGGCAGTACAGTTAAGAAGCTGAGCACTATGAACTAAACGACTTATGATATTTATGATGATAAGGAGCTTGCTTATATATATTTCCACTTCTGTAAATCACATTATAGTATTTCCATGATATATGTCATTGAAATGAAGTACATTTAGAATTTGTGAAACACATACTAAAGTTTCAAAGACATAACATTTATCCGTGAAGAAGGATTAAATGATGTATACAGTAGCTCTGTAGGTTTTTAAAAGGTGCAACCAAATCAGGAAATGGAAATAAACACTAAGTTTGATTTTTTAAAATAAGGTCTACTAATTATGGAGCTGGCTTGATAAAAGACAGTTCCCTCCAGATTCATTCATACCCCTGCTGAAGTAGAGACTGGATGTTGTTTTTCTTTTCTTCTCTTTTCAGCATGGAACAAACCTGTACTTGTTCCTTATGAGCATAAAAAAATACTACTTAAAGACATAAATGCTCAAGGGGTTAAGAACTTCTGCGTTTGTTAAGAAAGTTATGCAGGGATATTAAAAGAGCCACGATGAAAATTCTGAATGATAATACAAAGCCTTACATTAAAATGTTAAACATTTTCATTTGCGTTTCCTTGCAGGAACTCTAGAACAGGCAGTGGCAGCTCAATTACAGACTCATCTCGTAACTAATGAGCTCTTTGATTCTTTTCAGTTGGTGCTCAGACAGAGACTGCACTAAAACAGCCCCTGACAAGGTAGTTCATGCCTTGTTTATGGCATCTGGACCTGGGTCACTTAATATTCTTGTGCTTTTGGACTTCTTTTGAGAAGTCCAACTTTTGGAAAATTGTGGAAAATTATCTAGAGATCACAGGTACTTCCCTCTGTTTATTTGATTTCCTTATTGGCTGCCGGAAGCCAATTTGTAAATCGTCACTACCTCGTATCTAATGTTGCCTCACTAGCTCAGGGTGTTCCACAGGGTTCTGTGCTGGGACCTTTAATATTTATATGCTGCTTCTTGGTCTGATTATTGACCATTATGGACTTGGATTGCACACCTATGCTAATGAAACTCAGGCCATATACTGCTACTGTGGATTCCCCACTTAACAGGAGCCTGTCTGATATAAAGTTAACGTTACAGCAGGACTTTCCTAAACAAAACCACGAGAACACTAAAGGTTAGGCTCATAGGCTCTCAACGTTAGCTTCACAAAGGTGGTGATTTGAGTGTTCTTGTTGAAATCAAATGCTTCATGAAAGTTAGAAACCTTGTTGTTGTATGTGTGCCTGTGTTGTTATTTGATGTGAATGATACCGGTTTCTTCCTTTTGCATAACATTTCTTAGTTATGACCTCTGCTGTACATATCTGATAATGAAATATTGATGTGTGCATTACATCAGGCTTTACATAGATTTATTTAATGCCTTACTATAATAATAATAATAATAATAATAATAATAATAATAATAATAATAATAATGTCTTCTAACTAAAACTACTCTGCATCAGCACATAACCTCCTTAAATTACACTGCTTTCTTTAGAGAACTTTAGAGAAGACTTCAAGGTTCTCCTGCATATGTATAAGGCACAGAATGGTCTACTGTAGCTCCAGGTTAAGGCATTCTTATCGCAGGATTATAGTCCAAATCATTTTGTTTTTACATCTGTTCATCAAGTGTGTGCTATTGGTTAGTACTTTGAGTTTCTTGAAAAGCACTCATTAAATTAAATCACATTATTATTGAATTATTTTTTTTCCTGTACACATTGCTAAAATTGCTGAAATATTAAAAATCCTTTTTTCATTTTAAAAATCTGTCTGTTTCTGAAGTTAACCCATGATGGAATTAATAAAAAAGCATTATTTTCTTAGAATTTGATATTGATCCCTGAGCCATGCTTCTAAAATATTCCTTTCATTATGAAACTGCTCTTGGTGTCTTCAGTGAAAAACATGTCTGTGTCACTTCATGCCTTTAAATAGCAAGTCTGATGTTGACAACCTCTGTGTCTGGCATTTCTGATAGTGACATTGACCATGTTCCAGGGCATGTTAGACAATAAAATATTTACTAATTCAGAAAAACATGTTAGGATCTTGTATGAAAATCATTTAATGTCCTTCTCCTGAGTTTTCAATTAATGGCCAAACATGAAAACAAAGCACACAGGCCCACTCCTTTTGGTTACTTCTGATTTGAAACTCTTTTATTAGTTTATGATGTACCTTAAGGACTTAAAATTCATGGGGCAAAAATGAGCTAATATTTCTTGATTGGTAACAACTTGTTAGTTCAGTACATCTGCCTGTAACACTTGAACTTGCAAGAAATTCTGAATAGACAGGCATGATGTTACATCAGGATAAGGTAGTCTTTCAAGCTTAATGTTCAGATGTTTTACATGAATTCCCAGCATTTTGAAGAACTCTTTTTTGAAGATTATACAAATTCAACAAAGCAAAGAGACCAACATATAGAAGACACAATCTCACTGGTGTGTCGGGTAGCTTGTAGGCTTTAAATCAGAGAGTCAAGGACAAGTTTGCCAAAAAATAATAATGTTCACTTTTCACAGGTGCAGAAGTGCATTATTGGGGATTAACCATAACAATATTGTGGATTAAGCGTTCCATTATTTTCTTATTTTGTGGGACTGGTTATTGTAGTATGGTATGGTCCTGAACACTGCTCTCGATAGAACTGTTATGTAAGGACGTGCGTCTCAGTGTTGTGTTGGGATTTTTCTTCTTCCCAGTTGAACGATGTATGAGCGTCATGCAGTCGGGGACCCAAATGGTCAAGCTGAAGAGCGGGTCGAAGGGGCTGGTCCGCCTGTTCTTCCTGGACGAGCATCGATCCTGCATCAGGTGGAGGCCTTCAAGAAAAAGCGAGAAGGCGAAGAGTAAGCGAATCCCGTGTGGTTGTGAGCTCTGCGTCAGCTGACAATCAGCCCCGTGTTCTTTCCTGTTCTGAAATTGTTAATTATGTGTTTTCTTCCCTGGAGAATGAACTCCTCAGAGGTACAATGCTTCTTGCTGTGCAGCTGACCTGGTGTGAATGGCTGAATGAGTGCTTACAAAAGCATGAAAGCCACATTATTTGACCCGCTTTTTTCTTATTTAGAACGTCAGCTTCATATTTCACGAGTGGTGTTTCTTTTATTGGAAGGTAAGCTTCTTAGAACCTTCCCATTTGAATAATTAAAAAAAATCTGACATGGTGTTGTGCTTCAGATTAAAATTAGGCTATGATTGTGGATGTGTTTCCTAGGACGTCTGTGTTCGGTCCACAGCATTCATTTGAAAAGCCAAATTCTTACAGCTAAAAAGGAAGATGAAGCCAATGTTTTTCATTTTAATACTCGCTTCTGCCTTCAACCAGGTCTTTATGCTGTACTGCAATAAGACTTTAACCAAATCACCTCAATGATGCTGTAGTTAGCAAAAAAAAAAATCTAGGAATGAAAAAGTTGAACATTTCACATCCCACATCATCACATGATGATTTTTGAAAAAGGGGACATGAGCCCAGGGTATGTTTTCTTTTCTCTTTCTGTTGCTTACGACCTTGCCTTGAAGTAAAAAGCAAAAATAACATACATGCTGTTTAATTATCTGTGGATGGTTCTGCTCAGTCACAGTTTAAACATCTCCCTTCCTTTCCACCTCTCTTGAGGCTGTACATTTTAATGAGGTAGTTCTGAGAGATGCGCCGTAGGTTCGATTTTGAGAGATTCTGGGAGGGTGAGGGCGAACATTTCCCTTTCTGCGGCAACTAAACACACAGGGCCCTCTCTTCCGTGCAGCACCTACAAAAGAATATTGACAAGAGGGATGTTTTAAGTTCTTGTTATGTAAATATTTCAGATTTACATTGGATCTAAAGTGTATGATAAGTCTGAATAACTGTGCGATAGAAACATGCGTATTGCATTGCTTAGAAGAGCAGCAAATAGGATTAAGCTCAGTGTGGATTACTTGAATTTGCGGGGAGATTTATTGTAAGTGATAAGGAGTTTTGTGCCAGCAGAAAATATATTGTTTTTAACTTAATCTCATTATCATAATTTTCGATTGATGTGATTTCGCCTGGCTGTGCTGAGCCCAGTGCAGAACTGGGCCCCAGGGATGTTTTTGTGGAAATGCAATATTGTCCCAAATCCATCTGAACAATGTCGGAATGTGGCATGAACATTATTTATTTACTCGGAGACGGCTGGCTTGCATAAAGAATTAAAGATATATTGCATTTTGTGTATTTACCTATTAGCAAATTGAAGATTACCATGACTCTTTTAGTTTTGAATAATAAAAACGTGAAAAGCACATGAAGAAAGACTATTGTGCCATTTAATAACGTGCACTTTTTACTCTCTGCAACACGGCTAAGAGATGGCGGAAGGAATGAAGAGGTGTAAAAGAGATTTTTCCTCCATCCAGCTTGTTTAGGAAAATGCCTTGGACATGTTATTGAAATGAAAACTGGAGCTTGTTCTCCGCATGCGGATGGATAGAAAAAAGGACTAGAAATATAAAAGGATATAAAACACAACATTGGGTTCAAAGGCTCTGTTCTGTAACAGCAGTTTGCTTTGCTTTTTCTCACTCTCCTCCATTCCAATCCCCCCTCCCCTCCCACTGTAGTTACGATCGACTCTCTGTACAAGGTCACAGAGGGCAGACAGTCCGAAATCTTCCATCGCCATGCAGATGGAAACTTTGATCCCAGCTGCTGCTTCACTATTTACCATGGAAATCACATGGAGTCTCTGGATTTGGTGACCTCTAACCCAGAGGAAGCCCGCACATGGATCACAGGCCTCAAGTACCTGATGGCTGGGATCAGTGATGAAGATTCCCTTGCAAAAAGGCAACGAACCCACGATCAATATCCTCATCGCCTAGTTTGTAACTATACGTTTGGAGACATGTTGTGGAGTAATCTACAAGAGTAAATGTTATTGCCTTTTTTTTTCTTTCAGGTAGTCCACATACTGTAGTTGTTTTATCAGTCTCTGGGTGATAAAAACTGATCCTGATTTAAAACTGGGAAAGGGGCCGTGCTCGATCATCTCATAGGGTGCTTCAGTTTATCTCTGCATGAAGATGTTTGAGTTTGTCACTTGTAAAACATGTTGAGGTTCCCTACATGGCTGTGTTTTTTTTTTTCAATTCAGCTATGTCATAAATTATGAATTTACCTCGAACGGGAGATATAATTCCCCACTGCTGGGCAGCAGTGTTGCACACTTGAGATGATGCTGACTATAAGCCAGTTGGTGTATATTGTTTCCCAGTTGATTCACGACTGAATTTAACCTGCAGACACTGCCAAATTGCCATCCAAATGAATCTTTCGAAAGACAAAATAAGCATTATGTAGTGCAAAAGAAAACTCAGTTTTTTTTTCGTGCTCAAGGCCTTCATTGCCTTATTACAGAGTGTAAAATGAGACGACTGAGAGATCTGAGGAAGTTATTGGGTACCATACAAATCTTGATTGCCCTTTCCTTACTGTCGGCCTGTTAGCTGTATTTGTTTGGAGTGCTTTCACCTTTCCTTAATACGCTTTCACGTGGATGAAGCAAACCTTTGAGGAAGCTGACAAGAACGGAGATGGTCTGCTGAATATTGAAGAGATTTACCAGCTGTTGCATAAAATGAATGTTAATCTGCCCCGGAGGAAAGTCAGGCAGATGTTCCAGGTTAGTTATCTACGAGTGGCTGTTCCTCTGCGTGTACAGTATCTTTACATGTTCAGAAACGTGGCATGCCTATTCAGGTTTCGTCCTCCTGACAAAAAGCAACTGCAGATATGAAGGTTTGGGTTAGAGTCTTTTAGAGGTGCGGATGATTAGAGTCAACTATAAAGTAACCATCCACTCCGAAGTGCTTATCACAATGCGCTCTTGCTTTCCTGAATGAATGGCCTTTACTCAGCTGTGCTGCAGACAGCAACACCAACCAAGCCATCCAAGCTAGACTGTAGCAGACACTTAGTCCCTTATGTATATTCATACATGGGCTGAAGGGGGCTGTTGTTGTTTTATGTCATACACATTTATTGATGCTGCTAACTGGCCACAGAACAACTTTTTTTAAAGAATGATATGAATGACGACCTTCATTTTGGCAATATCCGTGGAATCAGATAGTGGTGCCCAAACCAAGCAGATGTCACTCGTTCTAGCAGGAATAGAACGTCCCTGGGGAGCACTGTGACACCGGGGAGAGGATAAAAACAAAAAAAGACTCTTTGAGCATACGCTGTGGTCTTTTATTGGCGAACATTTATTGGTGTTCCTTTTAGGACAGAGGCTTGACTTTCAGCCAATTTCAAAACAATTGCAATTTTCAAGTGCAATAGAATGTTGCCAGTTGAACAAGGGGGCTACTTTATTTCCGTTTGAGAGGTGAGAGGTGCAGTCTGAACCCTCTTTCCATCTGCAGTATCTTCAGATGCACGGATTAAAGGTTGCCTTAAATATGTGGTCCTCAACATTTCCTAATCCTGTTGGGTTGTACTTAACAAAAAAACAGAAGAGAGCGCACCGAAATGCTGTTTTTCAAACTAATGCCCATGCAGCGAAGGGATCTTTTGTGTTAGCTCTCAGTAGCTTAAGAGTCTTGTAGACTTCAAAAGAACAGAAATAATCAGTGTGGCAGTCTAAGATAGTTCACTGCTTCTTGTGTTGTTTTCTTCGGTAATGGAAATAATAATGGAAAAAAGATTTGAGTAATATTTGTGTTAAGTGTTTTTTAAGTGTTAAAAAATATAAGTGTTACATTTTTTCAACGGGGGTTTGGAGGTGTGATTTTTATCCTAAAATCACATTTCAAGCTAAGCTAGAATGATTAATAATGTGTATGTTAATTAAACGATTAATGTGCTCCCAGGTTTCCAAAATCTTCAGAATCAATCAGATTCCCCACTTCTAAAAGAATTTAATGTATTGACTCTGGACTAGCTGGACTACAGTCAGTTCTCTATGTCTTGTTGGTTAAAGGAAGCCGATACAGATGAACAGCAAGGAACCCTGACCTTCGAGGAGTTCTGCGTTTTTTACAAGATGATGTCCCTCCGAAGGGATCTCTTCCTGTTGTTCATGTGTTTCAGTGACAAGAAGGATCACCTCACTGTTGAAGACTTTGCTAACTTCCTCAGAACAGAACAGAAGGTAATTATATCGGTGTACGCTCATACTCTAATGGCTGTTTTTTTTGCCAAATGCCTGTAACAAAACATTAAACCCAAAATGAAGAATATAAAAAGACATCCAGATCAGGCAACTTGGTCATGCTGGGAAAGATACAAACTGTGAAACAGATGGCTGTTTTTATTTAATTATATACGTATATATGTAATATATGGGCATGTGTACCATGGGTGATGAAGTACTGTAGGAAACTTAACTGTTCCAACTATTTTCAGATTTGTTTTGAATAGCTGAATTTTGTGTCAGAAGACAAAACAATTTTGACACAGGAAAATAAACATTGTCTTATAGCAGCTGTCATAAACCTGTCTGAAATGATGTTGTTCGTGTTTGTCTTTTCACTAGTGAGCATTTTCTATGGATATCATGAGGAATTATTTGAAATCAGTAATATAGACAAAGTCCTACAAGACATGAATTATGATTATTTTCCATTCTGTACATTAGATGCTAATTACTGTAATGTGCTGATGGGATGTGCTAGCCCAGAGATATCCATCTTCCAATATTTTTCCACTGTTTTTGTTTGATGTGCATCCTGCTTCTCTCAGATGATGCTGGTGCCTTAGGGCTGAGAAGGTTTCCTGACATTAAATAATAAACAGGCGTTGCAATGGAAAAGCCTTGTGCTTTGGACAGAATTGCAGAAGTGGGCGGTAGGGGTTTTGTGCAGTTTTCATTAGCCGATGCCTGATGGAGAGAAACATGCTCAATGCCAATTAATCTGGTGTCATTTTTCAAGCAAACAAAAAAAAATATTTACAGTTGAGATGTGTGTCTCACACCGGCATATGGAAACACAAAAGACAGCTGAGTGAGAGACATTATGTGCACAAAATCTCTGTTGGGGCAACAGGAAACCAGCGCGTTAGAAAAGGAGACATGGAGAGACTCAGCTGCCTATTTTTAAATATACCTCTATCAAGATAAGATAAGATCACTTTATTTTCAATATACAATTTCTTGCATTAGGATCTTCTTGGGCAGATCCTTAGCCACAGTGCCACCTCTCTGTCACATTATTAGTGTCTAATGTTAGTTTTTTTTAAAGTAATGCTTACTAGTACTGTTAGACACCTTTACTCCTTAATTCTCTAAGGTTAAACCTGTCCCTCAATACGTTTTCTGTAAAGTCGGGAAGCTCTTTTAGGGTAGATGCAGAATGAAATGCCCAGCTTTTGGCTTTATAGCTGAAGTAGGTTCTGTTCAAGATTAGAAGGCATATTGCCTTTTCAGACTCTTTACTCTATGTGTGAGATGGAGATGCAGCTTAAGGTTTTGGTGATTAAGACCTCCTTCTGTTATTGTTAGGTTGCAGAACAAGCAATTGCTCTTCCCTCTTAGGCCATGAGGTACTTTAAGAAAGTAATGGCACTGTTGGATGCCTTTGTTAGTCCACAATCCTGCAGATAGAGAAGTATCAGAACTCCCGTCAGCAGTACTCCGAGAGTCATATCACCCCTGAAGCACTGTTTCCTGAAACAAATAAACCCTGTCTCTGTGGTTCATAGATGAACAACGTGACGACCGAATATTGTCTGGATATTATTGATAAGTTTGAAGTCTCTGAAGAAAACAAAGAGAGAGATGTTTTAGGGATTGAAGGTAAGCTACACGTTCTTCCCATTTGTTAAGAACTAATTTAAACATTGAAGCACAATCATATGAAAGAAGAGGTGATGGTATGACCTTTAACACTTACTAGTTTTATTTTGAAGAATACTCATTATTAAAGTTATTGGCTTAATATTTAAGCCAACATACAGGCAAAAAAGAACAGTTTGAATATCCTTGGGATTTTTGCTGCTGCATCTTGAATGGACTCTAAATTAGGATTCCATGACCTTTTTTGGTATTTTTTTCTCTTGAAAGAGAATTAAGTCTAAAAAGATTTCTAAACTTGAGCTTGAGTAGTCTGTTTTTCAATAGCCCCCATGCAAAGCAAAGTCTTGTTAGAGGCTTAAAGCACTTCTCTCAGAATTCCTGGTGAAGAAAGATATTGTTCGGCGCCCTTCACAAACTTTAAAGGCTTAGGTTCAGTCTTTTATCCCTGTTGTTCTTCTTAATAAAAGTCTGCCTACAGCTCGAGCTTGCCCTCTCTCAAGAATCAAACACAGCACACAAATGTCTTAGAACAAAAGGCAGTGTATAGCCCTGTGGTCATTATGGCATCCTGTCAATAATGTTTAAGTATTCAGCTTACTTTAAATACCGAAGTCGGAGCTGCTTGGCTTTAAAAGCCAGCAGATTCAGTGGTCTTTCAGAAAGTACCCCTGTGGTACATTATGTCATTTCTTCACATTGAATGTTGCACATTAGCAAGGGGAAAAACCAAAAAGTTACTCTCGTTTTACACCGTCACAGGAATCCACACAGACATAACTAACATTGACCAGTGTGGTTTGCTGCTTGTGCTTGGGGAACTCTCTGACCCGCTGGGGGTGGATGACAGCTCGCATTAGTCTTCTAGTCGTCAAGAGTCACATTTGCTTTTAGGAGTGAAAAAGAAGTAGCATTTTGCCCAGGTCTTTTTTCTCTAACATATTCCTTATTTATTGCTTTATTCCTTAAACAACACAACTGAAACATCTAGCAGGAGGCTGTGGAGATATTATTAACATTTGCCTGCGTAGTGCAGCTGATTAGGTATGTACCGTGGGCAGCAGTGATGGGTAGCTTGACCTTTTACTTATGGCACGCTGTCTTGAGTTGTGGGCTGCAAGATGTGACAATGCGTCAATACCAGTACAAGGGAAGCTTTCAATAAGCATCTCATTTCCAGAACAGAAAACCTACTGATTCATGTCATGGAAGGTGAACAAGTGTCTGAGGTACTACACTGAACCCCGAATGGGTTTGTCTCCTGCTTAGGTCATGCAGTTGGATAATCTATTGTAAGCATTCCAGAAATGCAATTGTCAGATTTATGCTGAGATTCTTACTAACAAATCATAATAAGAGCCTTTGTCTTTTCAGCAGCAAGTCTACAGATGTAACAGATTGTGGGCCTTATGCTGAAAAGGCTGTTTTTGTCTCATGAACGAGACACTTCTTTGTTTTAAAGGGCTTTTTTTCCCTCTTGCTGAACATAATGATTGTGCTTTGCATACTAAGAACTGTGTCCCTAAACCTTGAGCAGTACAGTAATGGACATATTCATGTCCTTTTCAAATTACTCTTTTTCAGTATTATCAATATACAATAAAAAACTGTTCCCATTAGTGTGGTAAATATTATGCTGTAAATCGGTATGACAATTGCCTCAGGTCTTTCAAATGGTAATATTTCTTTTGTCTTTTATAACAGGAAAATCATTTCTGTTCATTTAGGAAGTATCTTTTTTATTGACTGTATTGTACAGATTATAACTTTTGCAATCAAACCTAACACTGATGGGGAAAACATTTCAAAGGGTGTATCTAGTTAGAATTCTCTGAAGGATGAGTAATTCTGCTGTCTGATTTCATTAGCTGTAAGTTTTTCTTTTTCCTTCAGCAGCATTCATGAACAGGAGTCTTTTGCTCCTTTACTCTCGGTGTTAATTTGTTTGGAAGTGTCAAATGGAAATAAAGTGATGTAAGATGCTGATCTCAGAGGATTGCTTTCACTTTCTGTAGGGTTTACGAGTTTTATGCGAAGCCCTGCCTGTGATATCTTCAATCCATTGCATCACCAAGTCAACCAGGATATGGACCAGCCACTGTGTAATTATTTTATTGCTTCTTCGCACAATACCTACCTGACTGGAGACCAGCTTCTCTCTCACTCCAAGACTGATATGTATGCCTGGGTTCTACAGGCAGGCTGCCGCTGTGTGGAAGGTATGTGAGTGTTGTGCATTTCACGAACTTGTGGCTGTAATGTACAGTAAGTTACAGGGAGAGCATTACTGTATTCAACTGCTCATGCAGTAGTGTCCAGGTTACAGAGTGTCTGGTACTTCAGACGCTCAGGGAGCGGGAAGAATCTCTGTGACACTTGTGGCACAAAGGAGGAAGTAGATAACAAACTGTTGTCTTTATTCAACACCTTCATTTCTGGTGAAAAGAGACATGCGAGAGTGTCTTCATGTTCCACATCACCGCAGGAGAGATGCTTCTTTTGCTGGTTGTGATCATGTTAAATCCTGGTTTGATGTCTTTTCCTCATTGGAAATTACCCATAAAAGTGAATCGATTTTAATCAGTTTGATTTACTGGAGTGTCCTAATGTGCCTCTATGAGTGGATTGTGCTCTTTTTCAGCTCTAAACTATGGACTTGATGACTGTCAGTCTAAAGTTTAAAATTTATCAACCTGCACATAATGGCAAAAGCAATTTTCCCTTTTGGTGCTCTCTGTATTATAAGGACATCATAATGCCTTGGCATTTTCATCATTGTGTGGTCAGAGAGCCGTTGCCTACAAACTTTGATATATGAAATGCTTCTCTCATTAGCAGCGAAACAGGCCTGTTAAGTTCAGTGTCAGCAAGATAGAAGAAATGCAGACTTCCTCACAGAGCCCATCCTCCTTGAAAAGGGCATCTTCCAAAATAGTGGAATTGTCTGCAGGGCAGTTATTGGTAGCAGTTCCCATATACAGTACCTTCTGCATGACCCTGGTCTTGCACAAACAGGAGATACCAGCTGTGTTTGAGGCTGCTTAATTTTGTGCTTAGTGTTGTCATTCTTACATCAGTGCTGCTAATTTTCATGCTAATGTCTCCTATTGATTATTGGTTTGACGATCCATTAACATAAAGGATTTAGAAATTATTCAGTTGCTCATGGATGCTGCTTCCTGTTCTTCTCCAGTGGACTGCTGGGATGGTACTGATGGTGAGCCTGTGGTTCAGCACGGATACACCCTGACTTCAAAAATCTCTTTCAAAGCCGTGATTGAAACCATCAACAAATACGCCTTTGTGAACAATGAGTATGAAACCCTTTCTCCTCTCTTTTTTGTTTGCTTACTGTGTATGAAGTGCTGGTGATATAAAGAGCAGCGGAGGGCTGAATTGTATTTGAACTAATTATTAAAATTGAGAACATGGCAAAACCAAAGTAAAAAAGTGCAGCCTTACCTGGCAAGAGGGCAAAAGTCTGACAACTTCATCATTAATGCCACTAAAAACGTCCTAAAATGCTGTTCAAGCATGTGTTCCCTTTCTAAATTCTGTTTTGTTTTTTCTTTGTTGAGTGTATAAAAACCCTGTAACAACTGTCAGAAATACATTAGTGGTTAGTGTAGTAAACCATAGTAAATATTGATTGTTAAAGAAAACTCAGTTTAAGCTTGAAAGGAGGTTCAGTTTTATTTCGATTTTTATCACCTGTGGTCTTTATGTAGAACTCAGAGGGGGAGGCATGGATTGGGAAAAGTGGATGTGACTTCTTGTCACTAGCAGTTTTCATATAAAAGCTGTGTTTTAAAGTTGCCCCGGGGGTCTTTTAGAACTGAACAACCCTGACATTTTAGAGTAGGTGTGTGGATGTCTGGACATGATTTATTTTTTACAATGGAAACAATAAAAGTCTTTTTTATTTTCATTTGCATTTTACATTGAAAGTGTTTTTGAAACTGTAATGGTTGCACAATATTACTAGATAAGCTTGAAAATATGGTTTAAATAGAATACATCCTGTAATTATGCACTATTGTAACAATTACAAAAACATGTTTTACAAAAGTTTTAAATTATTGGGAGTTATTTTGACTTCTGCAATGTTTAAATTGATGATCTGTTTTTTTTGTTTCAAGGCAAGATGTAATATGTACATATTTAACTTTAACATGACCCAAGTAGGGTCATTTCCTAGTTTGTAGAATCAATTCTGTAATAAGAAATGTATATCTGTACTTCTGATGCAGTAACAAGCTCAGGGGGATCCATTACATGATCCGTTAGGCTCTAAATAAAGATTGATCGGCTTTTCAGCTAAACTGAAACATTTCTAGACAGTCTGGTACAAAAGTGACTAACAGATTCCTCTGACACTTTAATCACACTGTCTCCAATTAATCTTTTTTATTTATTTCTTGATAGATATCCAGTCATCCTTTCAATTGAAAACCATTGCAGCATTCAGCAGCAGAAAAAGATTGCTCAGTACTTGAAGGAAATATTTGGAGAGAAGCTGGATCTCGTTGGCATTTTCACTAGGGACTCCAAACAGCTTCCAAGTCCAAACATTTTAAAGGGCAAGATACTTATTAAGGTACAGTATTTAATAACAGTGAGGACATTCAGTGGTTTTGCTTGCATTGTGTCTCAGAGATGTTCACAGGAACAAGTAGAAAGTTATGTTTGATTTAGAGTAAGGAATATTACACAGTCTCACAGTAGGTGAGGAATGTTCACTTTTTTAAGGAGGAAACAACAATGCTAAAGAGAGGATTGGCCTATTTTAATGCCCTTTGCTCATTAATGTGTATGGATATATCTGCAGAAGTGACTTGTAGGCTATATTAGAGCCCATTTATGTCAAAATGATTAAATATGTTAATTCAGTGCAGTGGCAGAGCTGTTCTCAGACACCTGTCAGTATCTAGCAAACAGTTGTCATGGACAGGCTGTGTCCAGGGGTCTGGCAGTTATTTATATACAGTACGTCCGGATTTACAAACAACCATTTTCACCTTCTTGCATAAACAGCTGTTATTTAAACCATTTCTTCATTCCTTGGAGATTTTAATATGATCTTATGCGACATGTTGGTCATGTCAAGCCCTTCCCAGCCTTCCACTCTGGCTGCCTGGGTTTTCTGCCAATCAGATTTCCGTTTGACTTTGGCCGACCTTATTGGTAAAAGGATAACGTGCTCTGGAGAGGAAAGAAAGATGTTGGGGCTGACAGTGGAGCAGATCACTACTCCACAGGACGTACCTCCGGGTGCCTTGGAGATATCCATGTATTTCTCTGAAGCTCCCTGTGGGTGGCCCATTAGGATTTAATGAGCACGTTAACCCATTCGTTTTTGTGTTTGCACGTACTACCAGAAATGAAGAGGAGAATAAACAGTAGGAGAGATGCGTGTGCGTCTGTTGTTCTAAATAACTGTGCTAGAGGCTTAGACGATGCCGGTGCATGAGAAGAGTTGATTGCTCATTGCTTCCCCTTTTTATTTGAATGCATTCCAGTCTTGCATGAGCCTTCATAGAGTTGAAGTGTCTGAAGGTGTAATTCATAATGTCAGATCATTCTGTAGTCATGTTGGGGATGCCCCTCTGCAGGCTGACATTAGTGGCTAGTCTGAAGAAAAAAATGGCTCTTGTGTTAGCTGTGTGGACAGACAGGGAAGGTACATAAGTAGGAGTTTCCAGTGTTTCCTGAAGTAGATTTATTCTGCCATTCAGGGCAAAAGGCTGCCACCATGCCTGGCTGCCGACGCGGAGGAAGGGGAGGTTTCAGATGACGACAGTGCCGATGAAATAGAGGATGACTTCAAACTGAAGCACAGCAGTGTAAGTTCACAGCAGCTTTTCGAGATTTCTTAAGGGCGCCTCCAACTCGGACAGATGTCAGCTGCCTTCCTCCCTACCCCTGTTTCTTTCTCTCCGCCTTGCGGTCTGTCTTTGCTCATGTTTTTCCTGCCTGTGCGTGTTGTAAGAGGGAGGTGGGGTGTGTGTGTGCAGAGAGGGTGGCATTTTACGTTTGTGTGAGGTAAGAGTAGATTTTGTTAATTTGGTGTAAAGTGTTCCTAATGTGGTCGTGGATGAAAATGTTTCACTTCAGCTTTGAAGACTCCCCGGATGGTTGATATAATACGCACATCATCATCCGTCTCGAGATGCCAATACAAATCATCAGAAGGAGTCTCAAATGGGAGGGAGAGGCCATGGCCTGAAAGATTTTCAATCCCAATCAGAAACAAAGCCATATTTATCTGTCAGACAGCTTTACACAGCCCATCAACATTTTCAGAAGAGCACTGGCAAATAACCAGGCAAACGTAATTATCAATGGTGGCAAATAGTGCTTTGTAGATAAGTTTTCATTTAAGTTGGAAACGTTTTGTGCTAGTGACAAAAGATGATTTTGTTAAACTGCGGTAGTCAAAACTACTGGAAGACTGTCTATGACTGAAACTTGCAAACTGTTTAAGCGACATCCTTACAGAATGGTATGGTTGCACATCCTCCATTCCATGTAAATAATGTCTCTTTTTGTCTTAATGTCTTCTCACCCCTGATTTTCAGGAGAGCTCCCTGTCTCGGACAAGTTTGACACGGGGGATTGATCTTAAATTACTTAAGAATACCAAAGAGAACAAACAAAACTTTGAGAAAGAAAGTTGATTTGGAGACTTCGAGTCTCTCAGTTTGCATTTATATTCAATATCCTCCATCTTTTACAATAATCTGTTAGGTATAGCCTTATATTTTTTGTTGTAAGTAGGAAACCACATTTGCAGAATATGTCAGAAAAGCAAAATGATAAATGAAAAATGCAGACTGATAAAGGCCCCAGTAATTATATTTCAGATCTTTTTATGTATTGAACAGTTTGTTAGATATACCGTATGAAATGGAAAAATGCTTTGAATGGAATTGCACGCTTATATTCTGTACTGGATAAAATTTGTTTTCTGCTTAAAAATAGCAGTCACAACTCTATGAAAATATGGAACAGCCAGCCAATATAAAAGCTGTCAGCAGAATGAAGCCTTATTTATGTATTAAGATCAACTTTCTGCAAAGCAATTACTTTCATCTGACTGGAGAGCTTCCATTGATAGTATTACAAGCAAAGCTTTGAGCTGTGAGCACATCAACTCAACCACTTCAAAATTTGTTTGACAGATAAAAATCAACTTATTCCGCTTTGTCCATAGTGGATACCTGGATTTATTTTTTTCTTAATTTTCAGAGGCTTTGTTGAACTGTAGAATTTGATAAATAGATTAACCAATAAAGGTACATTTTTTTCCATTGTTCCACGTGTATGGCAAAATTACTTGTATAAGACTAGAAATAACCATTACAATCCTTTGTTGATTTCTTGAAGACAGTGTGATTAAGAGAATCATCCCTTCAAAATATAATGGCAGTGGCTGAATACTCCATACCCTTTTTTTCTAGTTAAGCATATCAAAATGTATTTGATTCCATTCTGAAGATACATTTTTTACGTTAAAAAGGATTTTTATTGGTAGACCACTATTCTAAAGGCAAATACATATAAATTGATTCTTTAAATATCACACTACTTGCTTTTCCTTAGCAAACTTTATTGCAGTACACTATAGTAAAAGTACAGCAGAGGATTGGTGAAGCACAGTGAAAACATGGTAAAAGTGCAGGAAATTAGAATTCAAAGGTAAAGTTTGACGCAAGCTGTGGACCACTGTGCCAGAGAATAAGGCATCAGAGAATCCACACGGCAACGTGCACTAGTAAAAGTAAAATAGCCAGTTTTCAATAGAAAAGGAAATTAAAGGGGTTTTTAATATAGGGTATACCTTTCCGGTTGTTACAACGATACACACCTTTGTCTTCTTTTTTTACATTGCTGTGAGAATGATAAACTCAGCTGCAGCCTCAAGATTTTGCACTTGCGTTTAATAACGAAAAACACTGCTCATCGCCCTCTGTTTATTACCGGCTTGAGTCAAGCATAAAATATGCTAATCCCACTTCAAGAGCATTAATACTTTTTATTGGAAGGATCAAGCTGGCATCCCTTTACTTAGCTCAGTGTTCCAAGTCAGTTTTCCAAGGAGAATGTGGTGTATTTATGACTGGGCTGATATTGATTTCTCACAGCAGTTATATTTAGCAACAATTAAAGTCTGTGACTGGTTTATTATTAACAAGTTTGTTTCTACAGAAATTATTTTCATAATGGGACTTGATCTAATGCTCAACAAACTGCCTCATCATTATTGCTATTGTGATATTTAGCATTCTTTATTCCTCGCAATTATTGCCATTCATAACACGTGTATTGCTGGGATTGCTTTATTCCATCATATCAAATGATCAGATCAGTAGTTATAGGAAATGATCACACATTACATACTTTTTGCTGTCCTGTAGACTGCAGGATTACATTCAGCAAGTCCTAGTTGTTCAGAAATGAAAGAGAGGAAAAAGATCATAAACACAAACAAGCTGAAAGCAGCAGTTACAGTGGCAGCAACAAAAAAAATCTTTGATGTTTATACAGTAGTACCTTTCATGACACATTGTCTCAATCCACTATACACTGTAACTGAAGAAGACTAACTGGAATCAAGAATCACCGAAAATCTTAATCAGAGCATTGCTGATGTTGTTGAGATGATGTCACTGAAATACTGCAGCATTTTGAAACAAGGACTGGTCTTCAGAACAATCCTTTTGTTTTCTTTTTCAGAGCAATGGCACAAGTGAACACCAGGTGGAATCCTTTATACGAAAGAAGCTGGACTCCCTGTTGAAAGAATCTCAGATTGGAGACAAGGAGGATTCTGACAGCTTTTCTATAAGGGCCTTACTGAGGGCAACACATGAAGGTTTAAACATGAATCTCAGACAGGTATATCAGTTTAAGATATTTTGTGCTTGGGTTTGTTTGTATGACAGCTGTAAAGGAAGGAATTTGGCACATGTTTTTTAATTCTTATGTTAATCTTATATGTATTTCTACTTTTTACTGTTAAATGTCCATCTAAGATGGTTCTGCATTTAGAAGAACAACTAAAACAAAAAAAAATCAACAAAGGTCTTCCCCATTACTTATCAAAAGACATCTGAACTTTTCTTTGTGTCCCATTTGTAACAGCTAATTGTCAAGAAACTTGCATTGTCATGAAAATGATACCTGTTCAGCGCTAGAGTGGTAATTCTGTGTATTTAGTCTATTTTCCACCAAGAACTAAGAGAGGAGAATTTGGGGAACTGTCATTTTAATTCTGCACGCAGGGTTTCTGGTGGTTTCGCAGGCTAACGTGAACAGCTGTCCGAGAGGAGAGGACAGGAGTGCAGGAAGTTGAGAGAAGTATATTGAGGCGGAGAGCACATGTGGCAGCACAGTGATCTGCCTAGCAGAAAAGCAGATTATTTCTGCAGTGAGCGCTGCGAACTGAGGCGTTTTAGTCACACTCTGAGCCCCTTTCTCCCCGAGGAACCATTATGCTCTGTCAGTCACTGTGCTGATGTTTAAACTTTTTGTGTCACAGTCTGTTGTGATGCATCATAATTGCCCTGTGTAGCTTGTACTGTGCTTGAGCAGCTTGACAGAAGCCATGTGACGAGTCTTTAACCCAGACCGAGAGACTGAATGAAGCCTATTTGGATGATTGAGAATATCAGCATCCTTGTCAGATCTATTATACCTTAGGGCAGGACTTTAATTAGTTTAAAATTGACTATGGCATTTTAACTGCCTTTTTAAATGGAGCACACAAAAATAGACCTCGATGTGGCACCTCTGGAAGGTATAATGGAAGCACACCTGGTTATTGATTAGTTTCTACCAATCATCACTGGGGAGTTTAATTTAGAAAACGTCATAACTCAGAAATTTCTTTTTACTTTCCGTGCCTTTTAGGGAAACCCCTCACTCTTAACAAAACTGCTCACCAAAGTTTTCAACCTTGTAGGTCTATAGAGCAAAATTTGGGGGAGGTAATTTTACAAAAGAAGGGTTCGCAATTTTACATTGAAATCACATTTAGACTAAATGTTCACCTTCCTTAGTCAAAACGATTTGAAAACAGACCCAGTTTATTTCCTTATTTTTATATTGCACACAGATAATATTCTCCAGAGCTGGGCCTGGACACCATTGTGACCTGTACACCATAGTTTCTGTTTAACAGGGCAGAATTGAAAAATTGGTTGCGGTACTCAAGCTAGAATTAAGTTTTTTAACAAATGTGAAAAATGTAATGTGTAGTTGACAGTGGAACAGCACACTTATGTATTTTAATTTTTAATACAGGATGGATTCACTGTTTCAATATCACAGCAAATATGACAAGTTTGTTTTTATCCAAAGAACAGCTTTGTCCGCAGTGCAATCGCAGCGATTCATTCTTCCTCATGAATAAATCCCATTGCCTTGCTAGAAATGAAGGAAAGGACACAATGTCGTTGCTCGCTACTGCCTCTGTCAGTGCTGAAAGGAGATGAGGAGTGGGCAGTGGGAGAGCAAATCAGATCGACAACCAGAATCTTAAACGTTAAAACGCCTGTGAGGAGACTGAAGCTTTTCTTTTTCTAATTCTAGAATTCACTTCATAAAGAAAGTGGAAAAAAGTCCCAAAGCCGTTCCTTTATGAGCAACTTCTCAAAACATAAGGTGAGAATTTCTGTAAATGCTTAAACAGAAAGCATCTCGTTGTTTGAAATGTCTGTATGGTTGTCATCACTTTAAAACCTTAAGCTCAGTGACCTTTAGACCTACTAACAGCCCTGGGTTTTGAATCAGTCAGGCGTTAATCACAGTATTTTAACAATTTCATTAATCTTCATTGCGTTCATAACAGTAATGTCTTTATTTATCTACAAGTCTTTTTGAATTGGAAATAGCTAGCAGTGTGATGATACACCCTTGGAAATAAGATTAAATAAAAACACAGACCTTTGTTTGTGCCAAGCCTCAATTATATTGCAGATGAAATGCGATTTTTCTTCTTTTTTTTCTTTTGCACTGGTAAACATAAAAACACTACCCGTCTTATTATGAATAAAAACACAGAAAAAAACTGCATCTCAAATGGCGTAGCAGCAGTGCAAACTGAGATCCCCCCTCCAAAGCCACTAAAATTGTTGAGCTCTTTTGTTTTCCAAAGTTTTCAGTGGCATTCAGCTGAAGACTTATAATTATGTTAATTTTTTTCTGTAGGCTGTGCATAGAAAATGTGTGGTGATGAATCACACTTGCAGGCTATGTTTACAATACATGTACGATCCTGGATGTGTGGTGTGCATGCTCTGCATATTTTTGTGGCTACAGTAAGCTTTACTTTACATTAAAGCAAGGTATTTGTACACAAGGAACAGCTTCTTAAAAATGTGTTTTGGGGCACATGGTGTTTCCACAACTACACAAGAGAAGTGACTCTACTTTTCGTTGTTTTAGAGTCCCTGCCGTATTATAATGAGCACCCCAATCAGAACATATTGGTCCAGCAGCACAGCAGTCTGAACCGACCTGCATCTGAGATCAAATATCCAGATGACAGCTTTGCAATCCAAGGCTAAGCTGAAATATGCTACTGTTCTTTCTCTAGACTGCACTTGGTGTTGTGTAGCTATCTCTGCAATTACAGTTGGGTTAATACAGAGTGAACAACTAGCTGTGTGATTGCTAACCTTAATTTTCACTGGACTGGGCCTGACATTTAAAAGAGAGATTTGGGAAACGGAACAGTTGTAAATTAAGCACTCTTGTACATCCAGTTCTTCCTCTCCCGCCTGCTGTGGAATCGCCCTGCTGTTTGTGTCAAAACCGCATTGCTGTGTTTTTGTTCAAACAGAGACACGGGAAGTCACGGTCAAAGTCTCAGAGCACGGATATAGAGGAAGAAGGACAGCATGAGGCATTGGGCAGAGAAACAGGACAGTCCTACAGGTCAGCAAGCCTTTCATTGGCTCCTGTCACTGCATGCTGTCTGTCTTCCGTTCTCACTAAATACCGATGGTATCTGTTTAATTTTTTCCCCCCACAGTAACAGGATTTAGTCTAAGGTACTGTAGAAGCAGTTGAGAATGTCCAGCCCTGAACCACAGCTCTGAAGACATTAAGCACAAGCCTGTAAGAGCTTTCTAGTCTTGAAATCAGAAAAAAATTACAAGTGACAGATCCTTCACAGAAAACACCACCCAGAGCATAAAAGAAAATAGCTTGCTTCTTAACCTAGTTCAGAAGAGTTAACATAAAAAGTAAATAAAGGAAAGATGGCCAGGCTCAGAGAGTGAGCATCTTTAAACGATTTTAATGTAAATAAAATGATAAAATGATCTTTAATAAGTGATATTTGAATGGACAAAAAATCAAATTGGATTTTGAATGCTGCCCGGGGTTTTGACATGATTACTTTGTCCATAACCTCACCACAGGGGAGTCTGGGTTGTCTTGCTCCTAGCTGAGAGGCAGATGAAGCTGGCAGCTGTAATTTGGAGTTTAGGTTTTCTAAAAATATCGCTGTCCTAAAAGCATCAGGGGATTGTGTGTTAACATATTTAAAACAGTAAATATATGGAGAAGAAAATATGGGTGTTCATGGCATTATGTGCTATCTAGAAAGAAATGAAATAGTATGCTTTAATCTCATTAAATCTATAAGTATTATTTTGTTTTTTTTTACAGCTTCTTAAGATGAATTCTGTTTGTTTGTCTCCTAATTTACACGTCTTGATTCTTGAGTCTATGCCCTATATAGTTTTTGGCCCTTCAGATAAAATGTCTTTTTACTACTACCATAAACAAACAGGTAAACTCTGTGAAAACCTTTCCATACAGTATGTACGTATATACGGGCGTATATGTTATATAGGTACCCTCGTGTTTCCGTTTTTATTCTCATCCTCTGATTGGCTTGGAACAGTAAGAATTTTAGCACTTGGCTTGTATCAAATTAGCACCTGTTACTGTCTGGACAGCAAGTGCAAATGCTAAGACAGCATTAGATTGACAGCGTTAAAAAACAATTTTGAAGTAAAATAATTACTTGACGTGAGGGTGGCAAGGTGAAATGGCAGTCAATACTGCTGCCTCACTGCTCTTGGATCTTGGATACCTTCTAGAGCAGGTTACTTGGCGTTTGTAAATTGTCTCCCAAATGCACGTCTTAGCACTGCAGTGGTCCAATAGTCCAAGGGTCAGGGGTCCCTTTCAAGAGAGGTCTTTCTTAATTTGTATGGACATTTATAAAAAAAGTATTCGGAAAAGAACATGCACCACGCAATGTTGGAGCCTGGAGTAAAGCTGAGCTGCCAATCTGAGAGTATTCTTCTCTTGCTTTTGTGAAACACCCGAGTTTTGCTTTTTTTTGTTGCACACAGTCCTGGTCATCACTGTTTTTTTTTCTTCCATTCTGGCTGAAGGGGAGGCCGTCGCAGAAAGACAATGAAACTCAGTCGGGATCTTTCAGACCTGGTGGTTTTCACAAACTCTGTTGCCTCACAGGACATTCTTGATGAGGGTAAGAAAATAAAAAAAAGAAAAGATATACGGTCTCACGTGCGTTAATCAGAAGGAACATTTCGGTTTTCTTCTCATTTCTTCGGACACAGCTTGCTGAGATTGCTGAGATTTCTGGCGTGTGGACACATCTGGTACTTGCTGGCTTTGAAGAGCTTCTCTATAATACAGAACTAATTTCCCATTTCTTTGCACTGGAGACTGAGATGCATTTTTACAATTTGACAGAGACTCTATTAGGCTGGGATTAAATGGAAGGTAATGTAGTTAAATTGTAATGAAATGCTAATTTTCTCATTCTCTGTAAAGACCCCCGGACAGATGAAAGGTACTGAGTTTTCCTGGGGGAATTATACAAGTACAGCCAAAAAAATTGCACTGTACAAATATCATCATCATCATCATCATCGTCCCTGGAGCCAGGAGTCCAATTCTGTTATCAATAAGAATGTTAACATGGAATCTACTGTATGTCACCTGTTCTGCAGACTAATAGTGTATATTTTAATAAAGTGTGATTCAGTTTGTCCCAACCTTCGTTTTATCTCGGCAAAAACCACACCGGATTTGATCCTCGAGTACCATTTTCATATGAAAGAAATCATATTTGAAAATGTGCTGCATTGTTTTTTTAAATATTAGATCAACCATCCATGGCCAGACTGTAGCTTAGCTTTTGAAAGGGGTTCCAGCAACCTAAAGCCTATCCTGGGAGCAACCATTGTAGTAACCTACGATGCAGAACTACACCCTGGACAGAATGCCAGCCTTTCATAGGCAGCACGCACTCACAGAAATGTAACTGGCATGCGTTCTGAAGATTGGCAGCACAAACAATTATGCCTCCTGCATAGATCAGGAAACTGAACTGCTCTTTCTTAGCTCTACCTTAAACTGTTCTCCCCCTGTGTCTCTCGCCTGTTCAAGAACCCTAAGATGTGTTTCTCTTATGACCCTAGCATATCTGAGACTTACAGTATTCACCGATGTGAAAAGGCTAAGACTAAGACCTAAGACCCTTTTCATTCTCTTAGACAGTGCAGCTCGTATATGTTTTGAAGTGTCCTCCACTGTTTGCTAGAGTTGACTTGTTATTGTTAAGGTAGTTCAGTTGCAGGCGATTGATTAGAGTCCACTCCAGGGCCCACATATTAAAATCTGTATCTGTGTTGACTGATATTCAAAGGCAGTTTTGATAAGAACTTTCTCTAGTAGTTTTCTAATAGATTATTGGTGTTTGGTCAAATGGTATCTTTCAATCAATCACCAGCTGTAGTAATTTCTTGCTCAGTGGAAGAATGAGAAGTCTGCTGTGAAGACATAGTGGTTCTTAATTAGGTAATTAAAGGTACCCCTTACAACACTGTATTATTAATATCTCAGAACGTGTTTTTTGGAAACCAGCCCTTTTTAAAGCTTTGGTGCTAATTTTAGATAGCACTATTCACCTGCTCAGGCAGGTTTCCTCATAAATGACTCTGTGTGCCTTCGAGGAGCCAATAAAGATTTCTAATGAATGAAACTGGTGCATTCCTGACTTTGGTTCTGTTTTGAGGAGCAGCGGTGTAGCATCTCTCTGACTCAGCTCTTCTCCGGCTCGTTCAGGCACTCCTGGGAATGTCCTGTCCTTCAGTGAGACCAGGGCCCATCAGCTGGTCCATCACAAACCTGAGCAGTTTATCTTGTTCAACCAGAAGCAGCTCTCCAGAATCTATCCATCTGCATATAGGATAGACTCCAGTAATTTTAACCCTCAGGCTTATTGGAACATTGGCTGCCAGCTGGGTAAGTGACAAAAATGTTTTGACTAATTGAGCTGCACAGCATCCCACACCCTCCAGGCATAGTCAGAGTTTCGCCTGAGACATTCACACACGGTTCTGCTTTACAGATCTAACCTCCTCCTCTTTTCCCAACGTGACAGCCGATGCCTTTTTTTAAGTAGGAAACTCTTTGAAAGTGAAACACTTATAGACTAGCTTCCTACGTTTGCACCAGAGTAGCTGTTTTTTGCACCTTTTTACTTGGGAAATGTTTTTCGACATCGCTAGGTGTTTGAAGAAGTTTCCAAAACTGTCTGTTTGATGTGGTTTAAACCAAAAGAACAGAGCACAGAAACATAAAGCTTAGTATGTTATGAGGAATGTTTTTAAAAACTAGTGACAAACCACTTAGAGCCCGTCCTTCCAGTCAGAGGTGCAGGGGTGTAGTGTCACAGCCTTCGTGCATTCATTTCACCAGAGATTAAATACAGATTTGTAAAATGTGTCTGAAGTGAACTTTTTATGTGAACAAATATTGTAATATACAGTATATATAAATATACACATGCTCACCCACCTTTGTGTTCCTACATTGCTAGGAACGTAATAATTTTTGTTCTGTTTGTATTTACTTTTCCCAATCTGCACTCAACTTAAACTCCTCAGGAAAATGAGTTCCTCAACTTATTTGTCTGGGATTGCTATATTGGTGTGGACATCAGCTTAGTTCATTTCCTTGGGTTGATAGTAAAACACAGACACACATGGGTGCACACACACACACACACCGCTATAGATTAAAATGTAGATTATTCTCTTTTTCCATAATTTCCCAGTTCAGTGCAAGTCCAGCTTTCATCCAAATGCTGTCGGTAGAATTCCCATCCATCTGAAAGCTAATTGTTTCAGTAATTGCCCTTTTCCTTATGGTTTTGTAAATGTCACAAAGACTAAACTAGGTCTGTAGGTTCCCAGTGGGAAAATACTGATGGAACAACAATGCTGTCTGTTTGCTTCATGAAATGAACTAAATGACCTACCAGAGCAGAATAAATCTGTCCACATCAGTACCTCTTATGCAGCTGGGTTCCTTTGCTTGCACCTTTCATTACTTTCTGTTTTGATCTCATTTTTTGTGACTTTACTGCAATGTCTCAGTGGCCTTGAACTACCAGACTGAAGGGCGCATGATGCAGCTGAACCGAGCTAAATTCATGGTGAATGGAAACCAAGGCTATCTGCTAAAGCCCCAGCCTATGTGCAAAGGTAGGCACGACTTGACATGAACACAGCATGGGTTTCTCTAGAGCATCTTTTTGTAACCTGTTGTCAGTGCAGTGTGCTGTGGCCTAGGGGTGCTGGTTATGATGATTTTAAGTGCACTGTGTATTGATTGTGAGTTGGATCGCCCATTTGATTAGGTACTCTTCTTAACAGCATGCCAGATAGATAAGGAGTTGCCTAACTGCTGTAAAGCATGGATTAGCAATATTGTGATATGACATAAACCTCAAGTAAACATACTACCAGTATTCCAATTTAAATTGCCACAATATAAAATGACTGTATAAAGTTTAAAGGGGTGCTCCCCAGCTCATTCTGGTCAATGAGACTTTGTTCCCAATTGACTCATCTGATTCAATATAGGTTTAGTTTGATATAATATGAATATTCCTGTGTCAAGTATTCTGTACACCTGATATTTAGCTTCCTATTTTTTAATTTTCCGTGAACCCTGCCCTTGCTCATCATTCTTTTCTTTGAATTTTCAGGTTCCTTCAATCCGTTCTCTGATGATCCCCTTCCTGCATATCCTAAGAAACAACTTGTTCTCAAAATCGTTAGTGGTCAACAGTTACCTAAACCTCCGGACTCAATGCTGGGGGACAGAGGAGAGGTAAAATAGGTTTCTCTTCGGTTCTCACACTGGTTCTACTGCTGTCAACGTTGTCCATTTTATTTCACCAAAAGCATGTGTTCCTTAACAAAGGGTCAACAGAGTAACCCCTCGGTCAACTGTCTGAAGAAGCGACTCAACTGTGGCCTTTTTCCTAAAGAATGAGAAGATTGTGGGAATGTTAGTTGGGATCAAGGAGGAGGCAGCTGTTTCTGTACCTTCCTGTAAATGTACTTTCACTGATAGCTTATAGCTATGACCTAAATTAACATTTTAATTTACTTTCAGAATTGTCTAAAAAGCCTGTTTACACCATGTGATATCCTTTTAAATGTTTCATAAATTTCTGTTTCCCAGTTAAAAACAATGAAACTCTGATAAGTATGAAACAAGGTGAGCTGCAGTTTCGCAATTTTGTCTTGAGTGGATTTTTGTATAGTTGCCTGTTTTATTTTCACCAGCATTAAAATGAGACATCCGAACAAATATCCTTTTCCACAGAATGGAAATGCCTGTAATGTACAATAATGACAAAATCAAAATCATTATAGTTAATAATGAGAAGCTTGAAAACTTCTAGCAGTTTTGACTTCCAAGCATGTCCCTACCAATTTAACAGGGCAGGTGAACCACCAGTAAACAAACAGGGAACTGAAGAGTTTTTGAATAAGAGCAGATGGCAGTGCAAGGCATGTTTCACCCTTTGGGTCATGACCTGTTCTGGGTAGAAAGATTGACACTCCAATTTGTGAGTTGTAAGTCTGAAGCAGGTTTTAGCGTTATGAAACCAGCCAAGGTTAAGATCTGTTGCTGTAGTGGTTCCTATGACAGTGATAGTTTGAGAACAAAATGGCACTCAGATGGTCATCTTTGTGTATGCAGGAACTCCATTTTGTCCCAAGTTAACTACATTGTTACTAGAGTGATACCTTCAAAGTTTTGAGTTAATAAGCCAGACAGTTTTAAAGTAAGGGCATTCTGAGTGAGATACTATGTTTTTTAGAACTGTTGATACTTTTTTCCCCTACAGAAGGTTATCAAAGCAAAGTGTAGGGTAGAAATCAGAGGCAGGTCTGGTTGTTCCTGAAATCATGAATGTTTTGTTTCCGTGGGTGTAGTGGTACACCAGACAGCAGTTGTTTGAGTTGTGTTTAAGTGTAGCTGAGTTTGAGTTTGAGAGCATCAGATGTTAATGGTATGCTTCCTACACTATGAATCAGTTTTTTGTTAATTGAAAGCATTTTCTTGTCATGTATTGACAACAAAAAAAGAAAGGGCATTTAGGTGACCATTTTGGTTTGCTCAGCACCCACATTTTCTTCCTGTTTGGTACTAGAATATTATTGAGAAAGTTAGACCAACTTGAGTGTGGTTAATCGACCAAACGGTTTCTGAGCAGGAGCAGTTTGTGTGATGGACTGTTTCTCCAAACTGACTGAGTGAGGTTATGACTATAAACAGACTGAGTTTATGGCCAGTAGACACTCTTTAGGTGCAAACTAGCACTTCAGTTGATGCAGCAGTTCCTAAGAAGGCTTTGAAATGGTTTTCTGATATGTGGCTAGAAGTCACTACTGGAAGTTACCCTAAACTCAGAGAACACCAAACACATTTCATTTAATTGAAATTTCTTGAAATTTGAAATTTCTCAATAACTTCTGATTACTAATTTAAAGGAAGGCAGGCAATTGGAACAATAAACACAGAAGAAGTTTTTATTTCATTATGTTTAATCCTGATGTGGGTATTCTGAACAAAATACCCCAGTGGACACAAACTCTAGAAGATTATTTCTACAGTGACATTGTCATTGACAACTTGTTTCTACAGATCATTGATCCTTATGTTGAGGTAGAAATCATTGGCCTACCAGTGGACTGTTGCAAGGAACAGACGAGAGTCGTTGATGATAACGGTAAGGTTCTTTTTAATTACCAGTAGCAATTGTGTGTTGTCTGCTTCAGAATTATAATGTAGTGCCTTGTTTCTTATTGGTAGACATATTTTGATTGTGGGGGCACAATATTTACGTCAGTCACACAGACTGAGAGTACGATGTGCAAGCGATCATCAGTAAAACATGGGGCTTGATTGTTGGATGTGCTGACTTGCTTTTACTACAGTGTCAAGAGAAGTCTGAGGCCCCAGGCTGAAACAGTTAACTGCTGTGCATTAAGTTTGTGCCAGCTTGGCACAAAAGGCATCCAGATGAATTATAATTAGGCTTGGCCAAAGACATTCTGTAAAAGCCATTTTATTCCATGCTCGTGTGGGGCTCTGCTACCTTAAAATGGGCTCCTCCCAAAACCAGTGCAACTCGCGTGGTTATCCTCTAGCATGTTCATGGCTGTGATATAAGTAAGAATCACCAAATGTGACTTTGTGTTTTGTGCTTTCTTTGCTGTTATTTTATCCCCAGGTCATTTTTTATCTGGTGTTTAATTTTCTTTCCCCTTCTAGGCTTCAATCCGGTGTGGGAGGAGACACTGACTTTCACCGTTCACATGCCTGAATTGGCTTTAGTTCGTTTCCTCGTCTGGGACCACGATCCTATTGGAAGGGACTTTGTCGGGCAGAGAACTGTGGCATTCAGCAGCCTGATGCCAGGTCGGTGCCTGGCGTTTTCAATTTTGGATTGGTTCCCTTCTTCCAGATTCTACAGCTGCTCTGCATGCTCAATAACTGGGACAGGCCACAGAACGAAAGATTTATGAGATTAATGCTCCTCTGGATTAGAGAAACCCAAAGCCATATGTTTTCAACGACCTTCAATAACCATGTGCAGCACTGCTTAGAATTAAAGCGATGTTATTACACGGGGAAGTGAAGACCGGAGGAGTACCCATGTCAAAGTGTGTGCTTGTCAGTTTTTAAAATGATATTGAAAGTAGAGCAGAAGAAAAACCTGCAGAAAGCTGCATTACAAAATCTGGCAACCAGGATCTCCCTGTTACTTGGTTCTTGAAAAGTGATGCTGGTGATGCCAGTTAAGGTGTTTGGCTTCATGACTGTATTGCTGTATCACTGTAGTGAAATCTGCTTTTAAAGTGTGTCCATATTTGTGTCTGCTACTGTTTAGGTCAGTTGAAAATGTTCTGTTGTGACCATCTCACACTGTGCACGTATTTATCTTGAATACATTTTGTCTTTTTCTGTCTGCAGGCTACCGGCATGTCTACTTAGAGGGAATGACAGAATCCTCAATCTTCGTCCATGTAACAGTCAATGACATCTATGGGAAGGTGAGTCTGCTTGTCTTTCCTCCTCTGTTTTCAAATGCTACCATATCTGAATAGGTCTCTGCTAATTTTTTTAAAACAAGTCATTGTTGAGCACGTTAAATTAGCCTTGGCCAGTTGCAAGCACATCTCTTTGGATTGTCTGATTAGGAATGGGTTAAAGAATCAGAGGCATTAGTCTCCAGTGTGAGGAACTATACTTAACTGCAAATGTCCTCTCTATCCAGTTAATATTTCAGAGCATGAGCTCGACTGAACTAGATAAGTGAAAAGCACATATGCAGAGCTACTGTATGTTTCACAGAATAGGAAAAATGGGCAGCTCCTGCCTAGGCAAACAGTCATATTCTAAGCCTGTTGAAAGTCTCTTATGTAATTAAAATGATGTGTCATTTTCTGTCTTGAAGTTATCCCAATGTACAGAACTGACAGGCTTGCTTGTTTTAAGTATTATGAGTTTAATCCATTAGTGGTCTCCTAGATATTATAGCCTCTAACAGATGAGGTAATTACATTGTTGTAACTTCTTGTTGTTTTCAGTGGAGCCCCCTAGTCCTCAATCCAAGCTATACTATAATGCACTTTCTAGGAGCCTCCAAGGTATTCTGTGTTGCATGCTGTCTGTGGGTGAGCCCTATACAGTGAACACTGAACCTGTTGTTTGCAGTTGCATGGATTGGTCCATGTTGTGCCTGTTGTGCTGGAGAAATGTTCTGTGTTTGAAAGATTTGGAATTAAATATAGCTCTGCCTTTAGCATTTGTATATGCACAGAAAACAACAGTAGGCATACTGTATTTTTAAGAACGCTAGGATAAATTAAAAAGGGATTTTGAAAATTTTAAAAAGCTGGCCTAAAACAAAAACAACCACAAAGAAATTACAACAAAAAGGGAGGTAATTACTGAGTGTAAATAGCCAACAGGGGTAACAGTGACATCTGTAGGTGTGTTTGTGTATTTTTCCTGTTCTGAATGTAAATAGGTTTAGATTAACAATAAATGATAAATGTAACAGTCATGACAGTGCTAGGGGTTTTGGTGGTACTGGGACGTTTTTGGGGGATAACTGTATTTTAAGGAGATTGATTTTTGAGATCTCTGTTCATCATATTACTAAACAGCTGTACAGTACCTGCTGTATTTGGTTAATGTTCCCTGACTAATTGAGTGGGGTTAGATTAGATCATCCTAGATGAGAGAGGGAAAAAAAGGAAAGTGGAGAGAAGTGGGCGATATCTGTTGCTGAGCCAAAGCACACACTTCTGGTTTCAAAACTAGTAAAAGGACTGAAAAGAAACCCAGAGCCCAGATGCCTTAATTTTTATAAACCCTACCCTTATAAAATAGTTTCCTCTCCTCCTCCTCTAATGTTTGACCTTTGTCATAAAAAAGTAATATATAATCTCTTTACTGTACTATTGATTTCAGATTCAAAGAACTTTACTGGCATGCCCTATGAATTAGAGTGCTGCCAAAGCAGTGACTATTAGTACTATTACTTTTTGTCGTTGCGATTTTATTGTCTCTCAATGACATCGGCAAATATTAATCGACAATAAGATAACTCCATTGCAGGCACTGACAAGCTAATGTCCAGGAAACACAGCTTGATCAAACGTGATAAGGGTTGACCTGAATCTGTAGTATTTTTTAAAAGATCAATTTTGTAAAATAGAATTCTGAGAAAGGTCTTTCTTGGGTTTAAAAGAAACACAAGAGGACCGCTGGAACTCGCTGATTATGCTGTGTCCTTCTTAATGCAGACAGCTTTATGTGTCAAGTGATCATTTTGAGTATTAAAGCAGCAGTTGAAATTAATTGAGCTGCTAAAGAGGTAGTAATAAAAAAGGCATAATGTAGAATCTGTAGAAGAACCGAGACAGGGCTTTAGTTCTTGAAGAAGAAAGGGAAGTGAAGATGGAAGACAGGTCTTCATAATCAACCAGGAGCTGAAAAGTACCTGATAGGAAATATCTGCTGCTACTACTGTATATGTCAGTAATGTCAGAAATCCCGCCTGTGTCGATCTGTTTGTGATGTTTAGTATTTTACGGAATATAGGTCAAAGCACTGCATGCATCTTGTTTCGTAGTGTTTTTTTGTTTCATTGGTATTTCTGTCTTTTTAAGCTAATTAAGCTAGTGCAATTTAAAATCACTGCTTGAAGTAATTACGTTTAAGATTTGGATTTGTGTGTCACATTTGACAAAGAGATTAAATTAAGATTGAGGAACTACTCCGATGATTTCGCACAGCTTCACAAAGACAACTCAGAGGAGTTGTGGTGTGGGTGCGAGCACACACACGTTTATATATGTGTTGTGTTTTCTTTCACTGACTTACAGGGCCGTCAGCTACGGGGGATCAGAGGTCTTTTTAACAAGAACCCTAAGAACTGCTCTGTGGACACCAACTCCGGCTTGCAGATCCGGAAGCGCTCCATCAGTGATCACATCCTGCGCCGGACTGCCAGCGCTCCAGCAAAGGGCCGGAAGAAGACGAAAATGGGTTTCACTGAAGCTCAGCGCGAGAGGAAGGATAGCGAACCTGAGGCGCACTGCAAGGCTGAGGCAGAGCCACATCAGCACAAGAGCGTACAGTCCCGGCCTGTGTCAATGCCTGTGGATAAGCTACTGCAAGGAGACCTGGGTTTGTCCGCTTGTGACAGTGGGAAAACCTCCATGGAAAAGGTTACAGAATCTGGTAAGCCTCCAAATGAAACCTTCATAGTACCAGCCCAGCCAAATGTATGTGTGCGCTTTTTGTATACCAGAGTTAGCAGCGGGCACCAGTTTATTACGCGTTCAGTTGGCCATGGTTTGTTGGTTTGCTTATGTTATAAAATAGTGTTGCGAAAAATAGAGGAGTAGAAAACAATGTACCAGGTTGTTTAGGTTTCAGGGACTGTGAACAATTAATATATGTGTAAATCTGTGTTGCTGCAAACTAGCAGTGAAGACTGCTTTCACACAGTGACTCTTTCTGTTCTGAATATTTTAACACCGCTTTGTTTTGTTTTGTTGTGTTTCTTTATAGTAGAAAACTGACTAGGATACCCCTGCAGGTAATCTAAAAAGCTTATTAAGGTTGCCTCATTCAGAACATCCTCTGCCAATATTACATCATACCCTTGATGTAATAAAATGTAATTTTTTTTGAATGGCTTCTTTTTTTCCCAGCCAGTTCTTTACATTGAATCATGTCCTGCAAAATTGATGTTTTAGGATTATTGTTCTACCTGCACAACCTCATACTTGATCCCCTTCACAGTCGTTGGTGGTGGCAGCATTCCATTCGTCTTTGTGTTGGATAAGCTTGTGGGTGGAACAGAGTGTTGCTTTATTACCTAAGAAATCAGCAGCCTTTAACCTTGCATTTGAAATATTTTAACAGGAATGAGATCTTCTGAGGTGTGCAGCACAGAAAGGCCTAGGTCTGCGTCTGTGGACCTTTTGATTGAAACTTCCCCAACTCTTCTGTCTGAAGATCAGCCAGTCTCCAGTAGAACCCCCAAGGAGCCATTTTTAAGGGCTAGTGACAAACCTGAAAGAGAGCAAATGTCTTACCTTGAAATTGGAGGGAATTTTCCAGAAGGATGTGATGAAAGCAGTGTTAGATCTCCCAACAGAAAATATGGACAAAAAACTATTATCCCAGAAACAGAACCTGGGCACCTGGAAGCTGAGATGGACAGAAAGGGCAGTAGTCCAGTATGTGTTCCCACAGAGTTAAGGAAGTCCATACCAGAGCCACTAAAGCTTGGTACAGACAACCATCAGGTTTCTTCTATTTCCCCCACTGACACACCATCTATTACCTGTGTGACAGAATCAGGCCACCTGCTGGATGACAGATCCATGCAGGACAGTACTATCTCCCAGCTCATTGATGCAGTTTCTCTGGACAACGGGAATGACACTCGTGGCTCCATCTCTGCATTGATAGATCAGTTTGACACTACAAATGACCAGAGCAACCTCACAGTCGTTTCAAGCATCCAGGGAGGTGGTGATCACGCGTGTAATTTAATGCCACATGTGTCAAACACAGTGATCTGGGAGCCTAGCACACCGCAGAAAGCAGTGGCATCTGATACGACCAATGGCGATGCTCTCCTGAATGTGATGTCTGACACCACATTGTTTTCCAGCCCAGAGACAACAGACCAGTCCATTTACACCATTCTCAATGAAGATTTTCTGTCTCCCGCATCTGTGTACAACCTCCGAGACCAAACAATCCGGAGCATGAGGATGAACTCAGAGCAGAGTACCCCTGTGGGCAGTTCATGCTCTTCCCCTGTTAAAATATTCACTCCAAACTTCAGTCAGGATGAGGACACTAGCTGGGGGGTGCAAAGGTGTTGCCGTTCACTGGAGAGCGCAGTGTCTGACAAATACCATGTGTGTCCTGACTCTGTCTGTAGCAGCCTAATGGAAGTTGAGGTTAATGTTGATGATGACTCTCAGGACTTCACATTGACTTCACCTAATGCAACCAGTCAGTGGACAAGTCAGTACCCTTCTCCGTGCTTAGGATCACCGCGTGGCTGCCCTTCAAGCTCCAGTCCTCACCGAGGCACTTACTGTTTTCCAGACACCAGGACTGAGAACAGTTATGGAAATGTGTATCCAAAGGCTCGAGACCAAAGCAATTCCACTTCCCTGGTTAGCTACCCAATATTGGAAGGGATCAGAAATCAAAACGTGAATAGGTACCACCGTGACTATCCACGGGCAGAGCAGCTCACGGGCAGAAAAGCAAACTCCCCTCTTGAAGGGAGTCTGTATGAAGGGAGCTCGGATTGTTCCACGTCATGCCACTCCACACCTTTCCATGGTCCTGTCACTGCGAACACACAGCCTGAAGGGCTTCCAGTCCCTGGGAGGACTGGTGGTCACCTTTCCACGCACGCGGACCAAATACCCGCCGCATTGCACGCAGCCAGACACCCAAGTCCAAGTCCTGCCAAGTCGAAGAGCCTCGGCGATCTGACGTCCGAGGACATCTCTTGCAACTTTGAGAGCAAATACAAGTACATCAGCAGGAGCTTCGTCACCCCCCACACGAGGGAGCAGAAGAGCGTGGCCAGCCCCCCCAGCAGGCCTCAGTGCGCTGACCCTCTGACGGAGCAGCTGCGCAAGCTCGTGTCCTTCGAGCCCGGCGAGAGGAGCCGGCCCGTGCCCGCGGGCCCGCGGAGGGAGGATCCCGGCTCCCCGAAGATCCTGGCCCGAAAGCTGTCGTCCAGGAGCCAGAGCCGCGTGCGGCACATCGCCAGCCGCGCCAAGGAGAGGCAGGAGGCCAGCAGGCTGAAACTCCCCGGCAGCTGCAGCACGATGGGTGTAGTCCTGCGAAACAAACCCCCCGTGCAGAATCCCACCATTAACAGACACTCCACTGGCTCTTACATTGCAGGCTACCTAAACCACGTCACCGGCGCAGGCCTGGAGGACAGAGGTTTGCCTGAGGGGTCTTGCGCGTCATTGCATTATGGCTATAATGACCACTTTTATGCAGAGGATTCAGTACTGCAGGCAGATTCTGGGCACTCTTCTGAGCCCGAGATTTACTTTTTGCTTAGATTGTAAATTAATTGTAAAGCAAAAAAAAAAAAAAAACCCTTTGGTTTCTTTTACATTATCTTTTTGGACACCTTTTTTTGTATAAATACTGTTCATTCTTTTGAAAGTGTATTATATTTTAATAGAAATCTTAGTCTTCCTGATCACTAGATGTTATATGGTAGGCTGTGGTGTACATATTAGAACACAAGACTACTGTAATTTATAGCTATGAAGAATAACTGTGATAATATGCTAAAGCAAACTGCATGTAAACTCTTTCAAGTACTGAAAATAGCTGTCCATGTAATGCATGACTATGCACAGTCCTGGAAAATTTTCAGTCATGTGCATTTTGCACAGAACTCATTATTCCATGGGATGCAATATGAATTACTGCTCACTTTCTGTTAGTCAATCATTCCATGTTTTTAAACACTACTGCGTATTTTCAAGCAAAAAGGTTGAGTTAAACAATTTTATTTTTATAATTGCTTTGATACGGGCAGCAAAAAAATAAAATCATCTGGGATTGTTATTTTTGATGGGACATGAAAAATATCGGACAGCTCCAGTGGAATACAGAACCATCTGATTTTAATAGCAGACTATAAAAACCGCAATTTCTAAGTTAAATCTTCTCCAGAGAAAATATACTTTGTATGGCTTACTCAAACAGCCATGAAGTGCACATTTTCTTACCAATGCAATAAAATTCTCAAAACTGTGAAACGCAGTGTAAATGTGTTGTCCATACTGTATGTTCTCACTTCTCTCACTTTCAAACTGTGATTTTTAGAACCGCTTTAACACACCTGAGCCCATAATATTCTTTATTTAAAAATACAGCAAAATGTATTGTGCTATAAACCTGTAAAAGTCCAATGCATTACTCTCCACATTTTTAATTTTCTGCCCAGCAGCTTTACCACCTTGCAGCCGAAGCCTGTCCTTGATGGATCTCCGAATGTAAGCAAAGCTGGGCTGCTTAGAGCTGGGATAGAAGACCTCTAAGGAAAACCAAGTTCCTTCTGCTTGTGGTGTTGGTTGGCCAGTAGGTGGCGCTCTTCCCCGAAAACCAGAAATTTCCAAACCTAGGCCCCAGTATGGGGATCAAGAACACTTCTGTAGGAGGCACTGTGCTTAGGATGAGATGTTAACCTAGGGTCCCGATGAGTTGGTCATCAAAGACCTTATTTAAGAGAACAGTGGTGTAAGACCCTGATATATACAATAGGCTAAACTGACCCATCAAAAATTCCCCTTGATTGGTAAAGCAGTTTCTCACCTCATTCCCTGATCTACTAAACAGTGAGGCTGCCGGAGTTTGTCACCCAGGTGTCACCCAGACTGGTGGATGAACAGGGCTCCCTTCTATGCTCTATACAGATCCTGTGGCATGATGAGCTACATATTTGTAATTAAAACTTCAGCTACGTGTATGATCTATGTTTACAGAAGAATAACATAGTGCACTTTGCTCTAGCTGTGCAGTATGGAGTAGCATTTGGACTCTGAATTTAGACCTGGATGCTTATAGGTTTAAACTTGTGGGTCTTCTTGTGGCCCTGCTGTTGAGCCCTTGAGCAAAGTACTGTGCTCAGATTGCTTTAGTAAAATGTCCACTGGCTACAACAGACAGGCACTTTGGATAAAAGCATCAGTCAAATTAATAATACAAAGTAACCCTTAAATATTCTTTCCGTGCTGAAAAGTAAAGAAAAGAAACAACATTTCAGCTGAGGAGCCTTCTTCAGGTGAGTCAAAAATCGGTGGATCCACAGCTAGAAAGGTACATTTTTTGTTAACCTTTCAGCACGGACCTGTTCCTTTGCAGCCTACGCATGCTGACACAGCTGCTTACCCGAACGTCTTAAATTAATAATACTCTGCACATTTTTATAGGACACATATCACATGCTATTTTCTGCATTTGTTGCACAACACTGTATTACTATTGCAGAAAGAAAGACAGGCATGCTCTACATTCTGACTTCCTGTAATCGTTATGAAAGAAGATGCAAATATAAAAATAGGTATAATATATTCACAGGATCCTCTTAACTGTTTTCAGTGTCAGGCCTCAGTTATGCTAAACATTTGAAAGCTATGTAATGTGTGAATGTGTGGGCACAAAAAGCTATTGCATTTCATTCGGAGGTTTCAAATATGTGTCATACCAAAAAGAAGAACAAAAAGGTTTTATTTTAAATCCAGAGAGCAGACAAACTCCCTGTACCCCCAGAGATGTTGAAATTGCTTTGACGGATGCAAATGGAAATTAACATTTACTTTTAAGAAAGTGCAAAGCTCTTCAGCTAAGATTTCATCGATATTTACTTCGTCAGACTTTTAGAGAAAATAGCATGAAGTCCCTGTAGAGGTTACTTAACCTCACAATTGCTCACAACCTTATTTCCACTTCAGTTTGTTCATGATTATTGCTGCATTAACACATGGATTCCTCAGAAAATAGCAGTTAATTGCTTGTGAAAGATGTAGTAATGTCTCAAAGAGTAAACACCTGAGCACTTGTTTGTACAAAGCGTAAATAATTTCTGCACAACAGGTCTGCTGTGCTGTGTCTCAGATGTCAGGTGTGGAATTTTCTTTGATCCCACAGTTCAAACTTTTAAACCGAAAAGAACGTTTCGTCCAATTTACAATGTGCTAGCAAAATCACCGGAAACTAAAAAAGAGGTTTTTCAAAAATAAATAAAAAAATGGCAGATGAGGTTTGTTCTCTTATCCCCTCATGACTGTAGTCACAGATCTGCAAGTTCAGTTTTAACACAACTGTGTTTTCTGTTGTTTTTACTGAATTGTGATCAGTTCTCTTTGCTCTCAACTTTACCTGTATTCTTAGATATCCGTAATTGCTGTGGCTTACATAATGCATTATTTTTTTTAAAAATATATGTATATCAGTCAAATATGTGCCAGTTTAAAATCCCAACTTTTCCTTTCAGAATTGGGTTAATATCGGTTTGAAACAGTGATTTGAACTCTTTCTCCTGTTCCCAGCTCTCTCCTCAGCCCTTCATCGCTGACACATGCTTTGTGCGTGATCTCGTCATGAACAGTCACAGCCTGGGGCCACGAACAAGCCCCAGGGAGCCGAGGCACGAGCCCTAGCTAGCTGGGCCCATGTGCCCCTCCTTCAGTAGGTCGTTCACGAGAGTTTCTAGTATATAATTTTGTGAAACCCTTTGGGAGCCAATGGAGCATTATAAATGTTCTTCATTTTAAGTGTCTGGCTGGGGCAGAGAGGCAGAAGGATTGGTGCCACGCTCCCTTTCCTGCAGAAGAGTGTGCCCTCAGATGGCTTTGGTTATAATAACACCACTGTTGATCCTAGCCTGGCTCCCGACAGCTGAAGCCACAGAGTCCGTCTGTATGTTATGGGACAGCACTAATTTGCCAAGCCTCTTCCGAGATGGGGACATTGTTCTAGGAGGGTTGTTCCCCCTGTATGACCAGTTAATTGTGACGGAGGACTCATACAGAAACACCCCAGAATTGCCACACTGCATAAAGTAGGTGTTTCATATTTTATTATTAATACTTTCATATAGGTATATGAATTCTACTGAATTGAATTTTAATGTATTTAATGCAGATTGGCCAAAGCGTTTAACTGTGTGTTCAGTTTTTTAAATGTGTGAGAGAACTATCTTCATTAATCTTCAGAACAGAATGTTCAGTAAAACCACAGATACTCTTCTCTGCGTGAATTCACATAATGCATGACATTCTTCATAGGTGAGCATCTATGATGTGCCTCAATAAAAATACTAAAGAAGATATAGATTTAATTCCAGAAGTGCAGTATGGTTGTTTTATTTTTGTTTGTTTTTTCAGTTTAAAATACAGGTCTTTTCGCTGGGCTCAGGGGATGGTTTTTGCAATAGAAGAAATTAACCAGGACTCCAGTCTCCTCCCCAATATCAGACTTGGCTATAGGATACTCGACAGCTGTGGAAAACACCCCCTGGCTCTGAGAGGTGCCTTTTCGGCTCTCAGCAGACAGAGTAGTTTGAGTCCCGGCAACGTATGCACTGGATCTGGTGCGGTTCCTGTAATAATCGGGGACACATCCTCTACGCAGTCCATCATATTGTCGAAAACCCTGGGGCCCTTTCAAGTTCCACTGGTAAGACGCACAGGAATTGTGCATTGAGAATTATTCTAATACATTTACTGAACCTTGTTCTGCCTACTTTGGTATGATCACCACGCAGAAGTTCAAAATGAAATATTTCAAGATAACACTGAAGCTAAAGAAGAACCTACCCCCTCTGTTACCCTGCTTTCACAGTTCCAGTCTTGTTCTTTCAATCTGTTAATCAATGAGATAATTAACGTGTCATGCTCAAAATCATATAATTGTTTTTATCTTAATTTCTTATTTACAGGTCAGTTATTCTGCTTCTTGTGCTTGCCTGAGCAACAGGCGAGAGTATCCTAACTTTTTCAGGACAATACCCAGTGATTTTTATCAGGCGCGGACAATGGCGCAGATGGTCATGTATTTTGGATGGCCCTGGGTGGGAGCTATCGCTACCGACAATGACTATGGAATTTTAGGGATTCAGATGTTTGCGGAGCAGGTGAAAACCGCCGGAGTCTGCATTGCCTTTTTCGAGACGGTCTCTAAAGTTTTTCCCAAAAGAGATGCGGTGCGCATCGCAGAGGTTGTCAAAGCGTCGACGGCGAGAGTCATTATCGTCTTTGCTTTTTACACGGATGTGGAGGTGGTGTTTGAGGAGCTGGTGAAGCAAAACGTCACAGGCAGGCAGTTCATAGGGAGCGAGGGTTGGAGCACCAGCCCCACGATTTACAATAAGGACTTCTCCTCTCTTTCCCTGGGAGTTCTCGGTGTTGCTATCCGTCGGGCTCAGATTCCAGGGATGGAGAGCTTCCTTGTCAGTCTCCACCCCTCAAAATACCCTGGCAATCCATTTGTTAGGGAGCTCTGGGAAACATCTTTCCACTGCCGGTTAAATGGAGAAAATGCTACCACATTAGGGAACCTGCCTGCATGTAGTGGATCAGAAAACCTGGCTACTGTGAAAAACACTTTCACTGATGTGTCCCAGTTAAGAATTACCTATAATGTGTACAAAGCTGTATATGCAGTGGCACATGCATTGCACAACTTGCAGGCATGCAAAGATGGGAATGGACCCTTTGAAAACAACTCCTGTGGTGATATTTATAATTTGAAATCTGGACAGGTAATATATCTACTTATTTTTTGGCATGCACGTGTCTGATTCTCTTAAAAAAATGTTTTACAGTTACTTCAATTAGGACAATAGCTAAAAAAATATAGCTTTTATTGTATTTATTGGGGGAAAAAGCTACACTACAAAATCTATAGATATAACCTGTAACCTGAATTGCTTAAAATGAGATCCTCCTGCAGGGGAAGTAATCACCCTCTATATAAATATTTCTGAACAAATGAAATTAAACAAGTGTAAGTAAAAATACTGGGACAATGTTAAAAAGAAGTGGGCTATAAATAATTTAAAATTGGTAAGTTTGATGTGATGACTTGAAATTAATTTTATAACAGATAGATGAAAGATAAGGAGTAAGTAAAGTAAAATGTGTGGAACAATATTTGAAGTTTGCTGTTCTAATTTATATTAAGATGGTTGGACAGTCCAGGTTTTCAGATCCCAGGAAGATAATAACCTAGACACCTTCACATCGTGTTGAAATGTATTTGTGTGAATGATCTTCCCATTTTGTATTGCACAAAATAATTATTTCTCATGCTACATGAATATTTTTCATCTTTACTGTTTACCTTTCTGTACCAACCTGCTGAATCAGCCTTTTCATGGCAAAGACTAGGTAAATTCAGAATTTCAGAATTCAAAGCAAATATTGATGCTAGTGTGTGAAAATATGAGACATAAAGACTGAAGTTCACTGCTTAACATAATCAGCTTTCCTCACTGTTTTATTTCGTTCACAGCTTCTACATTATTTAAGTGAAGTTCAATTTACCAACAAACTTGGAGAAAATGTTCACTTTGAAGGGGGTGACAGTAAAGTTGTATATGATATAGTAAATTGGCAAAAGAGCCCAACAGGATCTATGGAGTATGTCACCATCGGGCGGGTTGATGGCTCTGACATTTTTATCAATGAGAAAGCCATTGTCTGGACCTCAGGGAAAAAAGAGGTAATAATCATCAGTTTCTAAAAAAGCTCAGTTACTCTCTGACTTTAGTATTCTGATTTCTTAAAACAACAAAGCCTACAGCATACACTCCAGAATATGGTGTTTCTACTGGGAAATGCCCATAAAATGCAAAATTTAGTAAGGGCTTTTTTTAAAATGTTTTTCTTTCATTTAGAGAATATACCTATTTCTTTCTTACTCACAGTTAACACCAGATAATTTACCAAAGCTAAGATTAAGCAGAAGCAAAATATTATTCCTTCATACGCCTAGATGTTGAAGTATCAAAAACACTTTAAGGTGTAGAGAGCGAATTTTGCACTGCAGCAGAAAGTCAAATAGAAAAGAGGGCCATAAAAATAAATGATACAGACTTTCTTCTGATAAAGTCTTCAGCACAATATTGTGTTGTATTAGTGCTTGCAAAGTGATGACAAGGCTGTATTCATGCGCTCTTTTATCTGTATTTAATTATATTGGTTTCTATAATGTAACCTACCAATTAAGTCATGTTGAATCATTCTCATTACAACTAGGTGTTGTTTGTAATGACATTACAGCTGCCGTGGCTCAAATAAAAATAACTTCATGTGGGTGTGTGGTTGCAGTTGAGCGATTGTTCATGCCTTCTTCTGTCGGTGTGCAGGTACCTGTGTCAATCTGCACAGAAGACTGTCCCCCAGGGACTAGGAAAGCTACCAGGAAAGGAGAGCCATCATGCTGCTTTGACTGCATTCTTTGTGCAGAAGGAGAACTAAGCAACACAACAAGTAAGGATATTAGCTTGCGGCTGTGCAGACTGGCAGGTTCATCTACAGGCTTGCAAATGCACAGTGCAGTGCATCTTTTCACCGTATGAATTTATTTTACAGATTCCCTACAGTGTGACAAATGTCCCTTGGAGTACTGGTCAAACGCCTACAGAAATGAGTGCATTCCTCGAGATGTTGAATTCCTGTCATTTGAAGACACAATGGGGATTACACTCACAACAGTTGCTTTATCTGGAGCCAGCATAACCTTGGCTGTGGCTATCATTTTCTTATATTATAAAAACACGCCAATTGTCAGAGCAAACAACTCCGAGCTTAGCTTCCTATTACTCTTCTCTTTAATGATGTGTTTCCTGTGCTCCCTGTGTTTCATTGGGAAACCTTCCATCTGGAGCTGTAAAATCCAGCACATAGCGTTTGGGGTCAGTTTTGTGCTCTGCATTTCATGTCTTCTTGTGAAAACTATTGTTGTGTTGATGGCTTTCCAAGCCACTCTCCCTGGAAATGATGTCATGAAATGGTTTGGGCCCACACAGCAGAGAAGCAGTGTCATAGTCTGCACCTTAATCCAGGTTCTCCAATGTGCTGTCTGGCTTTCAGTTAGCCCCCCTCTGCCAAATAAGAACACCAGCTACCAGAACTCAAAAATAATCTTAGAATGTGCAGTGGGGTCCATTGTAGCCTTTTGTTGTGTGCTGGGGTATATTGGTTTGCTAGCATGTCTCTGCTTCACGTTAGCTTTCTTGGCCCGAAATCTGCCAGACAATTTCAATGAAGGAAAATTCATTACATTCAGCATGCTTATATTCTGTGCTGTCTGGATCACCTTTATCCCAGCTTATATCAGCTCCCCTGGCAAATATACAGTAGCTGTAGAAATTTTTGCTATTTTGTCTTCCAGTTTTGGTCTCCTTGGGTGCATCTTTGCCCCCAAATGCTTTATTATTTTACTCAGACCAGAAAATAATACAAAAAAGTTTCTTATGGGAAGAGCATCTGCATAGAAATAAGTAGAACTATGTTTCTGACAGGGCCACTGTGCAACTCTATTGCTGGAGCTCGTCAAAGTGACATTCTAAGCACTTTTGCATGTGGTATGTGTTTTTTGTTTCTTTTCACTTATCCATAACATCCTGGTAAATATAATTAATAAGTTGTATGTAATGCATTAAATGCAAAATGATTGATTGATGCAGTGAATATTAAACAAAGATTAGCAAAACTGCATTGGATTCCAATATTTTGGCATTTCAATATTTTGCAAATAATCGCTGGGGTTTTGTACCTTCATATGGGAATATTCCATATAGGCTCATTAACATGAATCAGGTTTAGATGGTAAACTGTCCATTTCAGTAGGAAGCTACTAATCTGTGTATTCCTTAGAGCAGCAGTACAAACCTGCCAAAATGTATTTCAGTAAATTTGAAAGTGAAATGCCACACACTCTGTTTATTGCAATTTAAAACACATTTGAAGAAGGATTTCCTTTAATGTGGAAAAAAAAACTGTGTGGTTAAGAAATGCACAAAAATAATTTATTGATATAAATTATGTTATTGAACTTCACACACTCATTTATTATAATTTGTAAAACAAATACAAAAACATATACAGTGTGCTGTTTTGCACATTTTAAATGATTTAAATAAAATAAGCTTAAAAAAACCTATCATTGTTTCTTTGACATGAAAAAGATATCTGTTTTATCACTGCAAGTACATAACATCAAGCTAACTGTGTATTAAATAACATACAGCAGTAAAATGTCACCTACAGTTCATATGGTTTCTGGCATATTTTGTATGATCAGTTGTAGATGACTTGGGTTTAAGCCATTGCACACATCTAATATCAATATGACCTCAGAAAAATCAACACTAATATGAGATTGAGCAAAACATGTAATTTTGGTGCATGAGACAAGACTTTATATATATCTTTATAATTCACATCCCACATAAACTAAAGTCACTGTAAAATGGCAAATGAGACTACATCGTTTATATAGGCAGTTAAATAATGATGAGATATCTTGAATTGTGCTCAAAAGAACAAATAGGTTAAGAAAAATAATATATGGTTTTGCTTGCAGTAATTCTTAACATATATACAGTAGATAGGCGTGGTTAAGACCACATTCATTGTGGATTCAGCTCAGTTCCTAAAAATTATGTACTGTACTTGAATAATATGCATATGGACTTTCTTGAAATCAATCATTGAGGTTGCGATTGTTCAATTTTTATTTTTTATTTTACTTTTCATGAAATCCACATTGATGTTTCTTAAGCAGCAACTCTAACTTAATTTACAGTTTCAAAATGTAATTGCATTTTAACAGGCTTAAAAACAACTAAAATTTTTTTTTTTTCAGCACGTTCAGGACAAATAACTAATAAATGTCTCCTACAAAGAAATAAGATGTAACTTTTGATCTGTCAAAAACTACTGTTGCTTGTGTTGAAAAAGCTATTTCACACTACATTTCAAAGCTTTAGTTCTGTAATGGCAGTGCACTATAAGTCTGTGTTACTTTTAAAATCTTAAATCTTGTGTTCACCCCCTTTCCTAAGTCCTAGAAACAGTAGATGCCCACAGGCTGCTCTGCTGCTTCAAGAAACAGAGAAATCTAAATCTGTAATGGCTGTCAGACCTTGGAGACTTCATCCTTCAAACTGCGTTGTTCAAAAAAACATCACCTGCACATCCTGTTTCTTTTTCTTGAAAATAATCTGGGCCCTACTAAAAGAGTTAGTTTGTCAACCCCCCCCCCAAATATCAAAGCTCTGAGAACACCTTTGCACCATTAATAATAATATCACTTTATTAATCCTTTACAATTTCTTGCATTAGGGATTATCTTTTCACATACCCCAGCTTGCTCTCCATGAGACACAGACACACAGATAGGGAGAGAAGCTTGGGGTCAGAGCGCAGGGTCTGCCATTGTACAGCACCCCTGGAGCAGTTGGGGTTAAGGGCCTTGCTCAGGAGCCCAACGGAGAAGGATTTCCCTGCTGGCTGTGGGATTTGAACCCACAACCTTCTAGCCACAGGCACAGATCCTTAGCCACAGAGCCACCTTTAAACAAGTGACATAAACTCTTTACACTATACAGTATGTGCAATACACATTTCGTTTTAATAAAAAGGGTGTGTTGAAAAACAAACACTATACAGTATCATAACATTATATGAGCATACAGTAGTATATACATTTATGCCTTAGGGGCTGCTCTGCCCATGAGGGCTTTCTTGGTGTTTTTCTCAGGATGAAGCAGAATGATGTAACATTTTGGAGCAAAAATTGCAATGAGGAGACCAAAGCTTGAAGCCAAGATTGCAAAAATCTCCACAGCGTCCGAGTATTTCCCAGGAGAGCTGACATAAGCTGGTATGAAAGCGATCCAAACTGCACAGAAGATGAGCATGCTGAAAGTGATGAACTTGGCTTCATTGAAGTTATCAGGCAGGTTCCTTGCAAGGAAAGCCAGCAGAAAACAGACACTGGCTAGCAAGCCTATGTACCCCAGCAGGAAACTAAATCCAGTTATTGAGCCAACATTACACTCAAAGATTATTTTTGAGTTTTGATACTGTGTGTTTTTAAATGGTAAAGGAGGGGCCACAGTTAGCCACACAATACAGATCAGAGCCTGGATGACAGTAAAGACAAAAACAGTGCCTCTCTGTTGAGCAGCACCAAACCACTTCATGACATTATTGTCTGGCAGTGTGGCTCTGAAGGCCATGATGACAACAATGGTTTTCACAAGAATGCAAGATATGCACAAAACAAAACTGATCCCAAACACAATGTGCCGCAACATACAGGTTACATGCTGTGGCTGACCAATAAACAGCAATGAGCAGAGGAAGCAGAGTATCAGAGAAAGCAGCAGCAGGAAGCTCAGTTCAGAATTGTTGGCTCTTACAACTGGGGTGTTCCTGTAATAAAAGAAAATGATTAGAACTCCAACCGAAGTACAGGCCCCGAATATTGAGATGGTGGTTAAAGAGATTCCCAGAGGGTCATGATAGGAAAGGAACTCAATTTCCTTCAGCACACACTGGTCCCTGCCTGGGCTCGACCAGTAGTCCATGGGGCATTTGAAACAATCAATAGAATCTGCAATAAGAAAAAAAAAATGTTTCAAGCAAGGAGTACAGAATTAAAAAAATACTTGAAATCTGTATGAGAGGAAGCCATTCAGTCCATTTCTGGTACCTCATTGACTCAAGGCTCTCACTCTCTCTTTCTTGAAAGTAGCTGGAGTAATAGGCTTCAGTCATATAGCTGGGCAACCTGTTCCATACTCCTACAACCCTTTTTGCATGTGTAATTGCCACCCGTTCTCAGTTCTACATGTTATACTGTACAGTATATGGTAAGAGATATGTTCATTCTGAGCCGTGGCAGAACTGGTTATTAAAATTAAGCATTTACAATTAACACAATCAGTATGTTACTTTTAATAAATCACATATCTAACACTATAATAATAACAATAACAACAACAACAACAACAACAACAATAATAATAAAAAAAAAGTTTTCATACTTCAAAATGAGAAAAAAATGAAACACAATACATAAACAAAAAAGTGTCTTTCTACCTGTGTGGTTGCTGATCTCTCCCTCTGCACAAGGCACACAGTCGAAACAGCAGAGGGGCTCCCCTTTCCTGGTTGCCTTCCTGGTGCCAGGCTGACAGCTTTCACTGCACACAGACCTGGGGGGCTGGGGAAGAACGTTGTCTGTACTTAAGGCTTAAGAAATTGTTTCCAGAGTTTGAGGTAGTTCAATCTCCTGTTTTTTCATCTGATGTAATTGAACAGAATTCAGTAGGAATAATACATTTTTGTTTTTGCCATTAACGTTTGTGCAGGCGTAGATGATATAAATATATAAAAACACAGTATACAGTATACAGTATTTGGAGTTTGGACGGTAGCTGATACTTGTCGAAATGTGAAGTCACACCTTTATTTAATTTCAAACACAGTGGATTATTGATTATACTGAAAATAAGAAGGAATGGAAATGTTTTAGAACAGTCCTGCATTCAGCTATTTTAGATATTTTTGTGAATGTAAGAACATAAGAATGTAATTATTTCACCAAATACTGTAACGCCTCTATGCAGGTAAAGAGTGGCATATTAATTTAAACAACTGTATAAACCTTTTTACAAATTGTGATTTGGAATAAAGATGAAAATTATTTTGAGAATTAACCGCACTAGAACTGTGGAACGCTGATGTAAAAAGAGAAAGAATGTAAAAGCAGATTGACCTACATTGTTAGATTCAAAATTCCAAAAGATGTTATCTTCATTCAGAGTAAGCTCTTGTCCAGCAGGAGCTGATTCATCAAACAGACCGATTGTTACTGTTTTCACAGCCCCGTCATCGGCCCTCTGCCAGTTCATCACATCATAGATTGCAAGAGCATCTCCGTTCTCATCGAAGGACACCCTGTCTCCATAGTGAGTAGTGAAGTTCACTCTCGCCAGGTAGTGCAGCAACTGGGAGGGTGGAAAATAATTAGCAATTACTAGTTACCGGGTACAATGAGTTTTTTCATCTCAAACATAATTTAAAACCTTAAAAACAATAAAAATATCTAACTCGAAAATTAGCTTAAATATGCTGCAAAAATTAATGAATGAAGTATACATGCAATAGTATTTTTTTTTTCTAATGGATTAGAAATGTGGATTCAGACAAAATAACACAGTACTTATAACCCAAGACAAAAAAACACACACATACCCACATATACTGCATAAGTAGGCAATGTGGAAGTTAGATTTTGTTATTAAAAACTTTAATACTAGGCTTTAAGTTTGGTGAAGACCAGCCTGCCTGAGAGAAATGTGAAATATTTGTAACTTTAGTCATTAATGCTTCTCACCTGCCAGGGCTGCACAGTTGTGATGTCTGCACAGGAGTTATTCTGAAAGGGCCCTTTTCCAGGCTCACAGGACATCAGATTGTGCAGGGAGTGTGCCAAGGCGTACACTGCTTTATACACATTGTAAGTTGCACGCAGTTCTGAAACATCACTGTATTCGTTTTTCTTGCTTAAAACATCTTCTGCCCCAGTACATTTCTTTTTCACATTGGACGAATTGCGCTCAGCTGTTTTCTCTGTAAATGTGCAATCAAAGAGCGCTTCCCAGTACTTGATGACTAAATTGTTGCTGGGATCAAAGACGGGGTGAACCTTTAGGAGATATTGCTCCAGTCCTGGGATTTCTCCCCTGCGGATGGCGATTCCTAGTGTCCCGCCGAAGTAGGGCAGCAATTCCTTGGTCTGGAAGACAGTGGAGGTGGTCCAGGCTTCACTTGCAATCCACTGCCTGCCCCTGATATTTTGGTGAACTAGCTCCTCAGCCAGAGGAAAAATATAGGCTTCTGTGGAAAATATGACAATAACTCTGGCCGTCGACTCTTTGATAGTGTCAACAATTTTGAGAATTTCAGATCTGTCGTTGTTGCGAGGCAAGATTTCTGAGAAAGCTATGCAGCCGAACTTGTTTACCTCCTCGATGAAAGTCTTGACAGCAAACAGCCCGTAGTCGTCGTTGCTCGCTATGGCTCCCACCCAGGTCCATCCGTAATGCCTGAGGATTTGAACCATGGCCTTGACTTGAAAATTGTCATTTGGGATTGTTCTGAAGAAAGAAGGGTGTGCCTCTTTATTGCTCAAGCAAGAGCATGTGGCGTAGTAACTGACCTGAAATAAACAAGAAAAAAAAAAATCTGTTGGCAACCTGTAGAAAGGACAACAATTTCAGGTCATTCCGTAAAATACATTTTTCACTGTTTCTGAAAAATAGAGATACAAGAAGAACATTAATTAATAACACACTTTGTGCAGAAGAAGGCAAGGTTATCACTCAGAAACAATATGCTCATTGACTTCAAGACTTCAAATAATAAAACTAGTATTAAAAACGGAAAAAATAACAATGACATGCTCTACTTTACTCTCCTGAAGGACGCAGTGCTTGTTATGAGCTCATGACAAATAGTCAAATATTGTGTGCATCTAACTTAAAAAAAAACAATGCAAGAGTGCAAAAGTAGAATTTTTTTTTTTAATTAGCACTTAAATAGGTAACTGAACCTAAACCAGGTTTAAGTAACTAAATACTTAAGCTGTTAACGAAACAGTATTTGTCTTGATGACAGATATTACATTGATACTTTTAAGCTTTGTGTTTCTATGAAACTGGTTTGATTAGTGTTTTAATGTACCATTGGAACCCGGAAGAGGCCCAGCATTCTTGATATGGCAATAGAATGTGTAGAACCAGGATCCCCAACAATGGCTAAGACAGGGGGAGTCCCTGTACAGCTGTAGTCAGTGACAGAATCATCCTCTCCGCTGATCAGAGCTGTTGCTGCTCGAAAAGCCACTGCCAGCTTCACACAGTTGTCATACAGCCTGTATCCCAGTGTGATGTTAGGGAGAAGAGCAGGGTCTCTGTTGATTTCCTCAATAGCAAAAGCCATGGTCTGTGCCCACTGAAATCCTGCAAAATCAAAACTTGGAAGAGAATTTAAAAATAAGTAAGTAAAGACATCAAACAGGTATCAGCATTTTTGTGCTTTTTGAGTGCTTGTGCTGTTCATTCTATGAGACACAACAATCTTCACTAAGTTAATGGTTTGAAAACATATACAGAAATGTTCCTGATAGACAAAATCTGTATTGATTAACACACAAAATAAAGATAATATTTTTGTTAAAGATGATCACCACAGAACAGAATGATTTATTTAAAAAGTACTGATTTATTTAGTTTAGCAACCATAGCTTTAATACTATTGTACTGTAAATCCTTATTGATCAAAGCAGCAATGTGATATGTTAGCTTACCCCTCACAGCTCAACTGTGCTGGTTTAGAATGAAAAGACAATTCAGGATATATTGTTGTAAAGTGAATTTCAAATATTCCTCCAAAAAGAATGTCCCCATCTTTATATAGCCCATATAGATCAAATTTGTCACGGATTTTGCATTTGGGCTCAATAGCACCTGCTAGTAGCCAGACTATGCTCAGTAATACAGAAACGCACAGAATAAAATGCATTGCTTCAGTATGAGTATGTTAGGTTTTTGTGGTGCAGGGAACCACTGCTACAGTATATAGATGATGTCTGAATCTCTGGGGGTGTCAGTGGGAGTTATCTCACTTTATTTATCTTGTAAAATGTAAAGTATGTCTTGTGTCATTAACAAAAATAATCAAAGGGAATCCTCAGGAGGTTTGCATAATAAGTTTTTAATTTATCTCCAATTTATCTTAAATATGCAGTTTTTATTCTTAGGGTAACATGACAGTGGGTATTAAAATACAAAATTAGAAATTTTAGCAGTTTGTTATAAAGATTAAAATTGAATTAAAAAAGAAGTGGAAAAATGAAATACTTAAAAGATTAAAAATATAAATAATAATACCTTATTGGATTTTCAAATACTCCCTATTACCAGATATAAGACTGGATATGAAATATTTGTTGAGGAAACAAATGCCTAATAGAAATTATTCTTAATTGAAATGAAGAGTAAATTAACTTATCAACACAATAAGAAGATAGTGATTAAATATATTATAATAACAGCTTTATCTATTAGAAAGATTCAACATTTTTTTCAAAGATTTCCATTTGCTTTTCTTTTTAACAAAGGGACAGTATCAGTATAATTGTTTTGAGTGTAACAGTTAGCT